GCCTTGTCCTTAAGATAATGGGGGCAGGGAGAATGTACTCTCCAGTCAGGGAGTTATCTGTATCTATTGGCAGAGGCACTTGTTCTTTCTAGTTTTCCCTTTTTGCCATAAGTCTCATATCTTTTAGTTATTAATTTTCTTTGTGGACAGGATGACCCGTAACAATTCCCAGACTGTTGTGGATAACAACATTCTTCAGAAACTAGGTGGTTATGAATAATAATAATAATTTCCAGAAACCAGTCATCGTGACCAAGCTATTTCATGTTTTTTCTTTTTCCTGAGCTTTGCATGTAGTTAGGGTGATTTTTAAATACATGCTGGTGGATATCTTTAAATTTCTAACTTTTAGTGGTCATTAGAGAGTTAGGCTGTATTTTCATCCTTTCAGTAGAAGACATGGGAGTTCAGGGCCATCCTGGGCTACTTGAGATCCTGCCTCTGTTTCTCTCACAGATGAGCATGTGAGCCCCCTCCCACTCCCACCCCTAAAACACAACAGTAAAAATTCCTGCAGGAGTCCCGGCGTGGTGGCTCATGCCTTTAATTCCAGCCCTTGGGAGGCAGAGGAAGGCAAATCTCTGAGTTCCAGAACATCCAGGGCCATGCATAGGAATGCTGTCTCAAAAACCAAAAATAAAATTGGATAAGGAGAGTAAGTACTCTGTTTATTCAGACAACTATCATCTATCTAGAAAATAGGATCTATAGGAAACCTACCTGAAGTAATTAAGCTGCAGGATACCAGTAAAATATAAATAAATCAAATTGAACTTTTAAAAAGATTTACTTTTAAAATCTTTTTAAAAGATTTACTTTTAAATAAGACTTATTTATTTGGTATGATCTGTGTTGTCAATATATTGTCTGTATGTGTGTTACTGTTCTGTTGCTGTGAAGAGACACCACGACCAAGGCAACTCTTATAAAAGAAAGCAATTAACTGAGGGCTGGCTTACAGTTCAAGATGTAGTTCATTATCATCATGGCAGGGAGCATGGTGGTGTGCAGGCAGACATGGTACTGAACATCCACTAACCAAGAGAGAGACTCTGGGCTTGGCATGAGTTTTTGAAACTTCAAGGCCCACTCAGTGATACACTTCCTCCAACAAAGCCACACCCCCTAATCCTTTCCAACAGCCTGTCCCTGGTGACCAAGCACTCAAAGCTATGATCCTATGGGGGCATTCTAATTCAAACCATCACAGTGTGAGTAGGTACCCACCCTTATGCAGTGGTGGTCTCCTCTGTCACTGCTCATTCCTATGACACAAGGTTTCTCCCTGAACCTGGGACTTGGTTTTTTTGTTTTTGAACTCAGCTAGCCTCAAAGTCACAGACATCTTAAAGACATGTGTGCCACCATGCCCATCTTGTTCTGTATTTTTGATTTCTTAGTCTGTATTTATAGCACAGAAAACACAGTGTGGAAAAGGACTGAGGGGAACCCTTATAGTCGACAGAGAAGCCACTTTACTGTCCCCAACTGGCCCAGAACAGCACTCCCAGATGTGATCAACCTGTACCCACATGTTGCTTCCAGTATTTACGAATAATTTTTGCTTAAGGTTGCTTTCAACCTACTGACTGCTTTCAGCAAATGATTACCACAACATACACACAAATTGTTCTGGGCCAGGAGCACAGAAGAGATCATAGTTTAAAGCTATGTATTTATTTTAGGAATTGGTTAGGAAATCCAAGGCATCGCAAATTTGGTTCCCCCCCCCCCCCCCAGGATAGGCTTTCTCTGTGTTTAACAGCCTTTGCTGTCCCGGAACTCTCTCTGTAAACCAGGCTGATCTTGAACTGTTTGAGGGCCTGGTACCCAACTCCCAAATAAATCACACATAGTCTTATTATTACTTAGGAATGCCCGGCCTTAGCCTGACTTATTTCTAGTCAGCTTTTCTTAAGTTAACCTGCCTATCTTTTCCCTCTGGGCTTTTATCTTTCTTCCTTCTGTATATCTTGCTTTGCTTTCCTTCTTTCTCCATGGCTGGCTGGCTCCTAACCTTCTCTTCTCCTTTCTTCTTGTTCATCTTCCTGGGTCTTCTATTTATCCTCTCTGCCCGTCAGCCCCACCTATCCTTCCTCCTGCCTCGCAAAGAATCACAGCTTCACAGAGTTAAAGCAAATTCAGAGTAAACAAAAGTCACACACCTTAAAATAATATTCTACCACACTGCCTAAAAGCATACCATGCTTAGGCAAAAACCCAGCTTATAGAGGACACTTCATCCCCCTCTCCTCTACAGGTCTACAGGGTATTTAAGCCCCTTCCTTTAGATCAATCATGTGATTCCCTCCCCTCCCCATCTCTGGGGGGCTGGAGGAGTCACTCAAGAGTTGTTTGCTCACAACTGTATGTTTTTTGATTTTCCAGAATGTTACAGTTAATGAGATTGTCTTGGGTCTCAGAAGAAACTTTCACAGACTATGGGGACTTCTGAAGGTGGACTGATGCATTTTTACATTATGATATGGTTACAAACCTATGGGAGCCAGGTAGTGGAATGTGACAGTTCAAGAAAGAATGGCCCACAGACTTGTATATTTGAATGTTTAGTGAAGGGCTCTAATAGATCTGGGCATGGAAAACACGGCTCTTGTACATCACTATCTTTGCCACCATGATAATCCACTAAACCTTTGAAACTCAAAGCAAGCCCCAATTAAATGCTTTCTAAGAGTTGCCTTAGTCACGGTGTCTCTTCACAGAAATGGACAGTGACTAAGACAGCTTCATTCATCTTCAGCTGGAGCAGTTTGACCTGTGTCAGGGCCCAGAGGCACCAGCCTCTATCAAGCTTTCAATGTGGATGGACACTAGCACCCTCCAGGAACTGCTATGCCATCAGGTGCCCTGGGGCTGCATCTCTGGTTCCTCTAACCTGAGGTTTCCAGCTTCTTGGACTGGTGCAGAGGTCAGAGAATACCTTGCAGAAGTCTTTCTCTCCTTCCATCATGTAGGTACCGGAGATAAAATTGAGGCTGTCAGGCTGAGTCCAGACTGGCCTGAGCTCGAGATTCCCCTACTTCAGTTTCATACATCCTTGGATTATAACATATTCTCATATTCAAGTTAATTGCATTATTATTTTATTTAGTTGCCACGTTTAGAGCTCTTTGAATGTAACTGGCCTCCATAATCTCCTAGTGAATGGCACTACTAGGAGGTGTGGCCTTGTTGGAGGAAGTGTCACTATGGGAGCGGGCTTTGAGATCTCTTTTGCCCAAGCTTCCCTTAGTGTGACTTTCTGTGGCCTTCCAGTCAAGATATAACCAGTACATCTGCATACCGCCATGCTTCCTGTCATGATGATGGACTGAAGCTCTGAAAGTGTAAGGCACCCCAATTAAATGTTTTCTTTATAAGAGCTGCTGCGGTCATGGTGTCTTTTCACAGCAATAAAAAAAACCCTTAAGACATCAACAAAACTGATAAAGTATGTGAAATTGGCTTCCAAAGTATACTCCAGGCACTCTTGTTTCTGTACATTAATAGTTATTTATTTATTTATTTTTTTAAGACAAGTTTTCTCTGTGTAACAGCTTTCCTGGAACTGAACTTTGTTGACCAGTCTGGCCTTGAAAAAACAGAGATCCAGATCTACCTGCCTCTACCTCCCGAGTGCTTGGATTAAAGGTGTGCCACCACTGCCAGGTACAATAATAGTTAAAAGTGTGACCCTTAAAAGATCATTAAATATTGGTGCTCTTCCATAGGTCCTGAGTTCAATTCCCAGCAACCACATGGTGGCTCACAGCCATCTATTATGAGATCTGGTGCCCTCTTCTGGCCTGCAGGCAGAGCACAGTATACAATAATAAATGAATCTTAAAAAGGAAAACAAACAGGCATCCAAGGAGTTATAATAAAATACAATACAATAAGCCAGAAGGTAGCAGCATACCATTTATTTATTTATTTATTTATTGACAGGATTTCTCTGTATTGCCTTGGATCCTGTTCTGGAACTCTGTAGACCAGGCTGGCCTTAGACTCACAGAGATCTGCCCGCCTCTGCCTCCCAAGTGCTGGGACTAAGGTGGTGGCACTCCTTTAGTTCCAATACTTGGGAGGCAGAGGCAGGCAGATCTCTGTGAGTCTAAGGCCAGCCTGATCTAAAGAGCTACTTCTAGGTTAGCAAGGGCTACACAGAGAAAATCCTGCCTCAAACCCCTCCCCAGAAAACAAGCACAAATAACACAATAAATCAAAAACAAACAAATTGGATAAAACAATCAAATAAGAAAAGGAGCCAAAGAAAAATCACAAGAAATACATACAGATACAGAGATGCATTTAGGAATCCCATAAAAACACAAAACCAAAGATGGCCCTGAGTTAACTGTGCTGGCCACCTGGCTATGGGGTCTGCCCGAAGAGTGGTTTGTTCCCCAGTAGACTTCCCAGGAAAGAACCAACTTTTCATTTTTGAGTGGCTATCAGCTGGAGATAGTTCATGGGTGGGGGGTGGGGTATGTATCACAAACAAACTTTTATTTCCACTCATAAAGCAGACGACAAAACTGCTGTTCTCTATTTTTATTTTTTTCAATTTTTCCAACACATGAACTATATAGCTCATTTTCAGAATTTTTTTTTTCAGTGCACTTCACAGCAGAAATGAAAAGGGAATCATGAAAATGGTTATACACAAACCAATCCTTTCACTTTACAATGTGCTGAAAAACCATTGCTGATGTTTTTACCCTTCTAAGACAAGAGTTCCTCAGAGCACAGTCCGCCGCCTGGCAGGCACGGCCACTGAGGGACAGGGCGCGTGGCTCACCGCCTGGAAGACCGTGGTCAGGACTGGGTAAGGCACCACGCTGGGACAGAGAAGGTAGCTTGCGGTAACAAGGGTCAGCACCACGAGCGGGTGCTCAGGAAACACTCAGATAAATGAAAACCATAATTAGCACTGTTCTGTTCATTGCCAGCAACTCTTCAACCCCAATAAAATACCGATTAGAAAAACCAATTTGCACTTGAATGCAAATTCCTGCTTTTTATTTCATACCCTTTCTTCAGCATTTAAATTTCCTTGAAAATAAAATAAAACCATACTTTATGTGCACTCAGTCACAGACATAATTGAATTACCGACAGACATGAACAGGTTTTAGTTTTAACTTTTGAGTAAACAGAGGTCAGATAAAGCAAACTTACTCAGGATAGCACATAATACTGGATATGAACCTACAAATGAAAATAGGTAAGGAAAAAGTAACAGCTGTGTTTTTTAATATTTGCTATTTTTTTAATGCCTCAGTTCTTGAGAAAGGCCAAAATCTCATATTGACATGAACACATTTTTAAAAAATCGTCTCTTAAGTGTAATATTTAATAAAACTAGGTATTGAAAAATGTTCTGAAATTTTTCAAGTCAATTCTGTTTTCAAGTATATTAAAATGCTCAGAAGAAAAAATCCCTCCATGGTTACAATCTAATTATAAATAGACTTTTAAAAGAGAGTTCCAGCAGAGCAGGTGGTGGGCTTCCTTGGTGCAGACACGGCCTCCGGAGGGAAAGAGGCCTCGTGATGCGTCAACACCGACTTCAGGCACGATGGCTGAATCCACTTGTAGGTCACCTTCGTCTCCCTCTTGGTTGGTTTAGAAGAGCAGTGAATACTTCAGAAATGGACAGAAAGCAAAAAACTCTGCAAGAGACTTTAGTTTTCAATACAAAGGAACCACAGTCACCGAGTTAGTTCTCGCTGCTGTCATCTGTTGCCCCCATACAAACCAGGGGCTCGAGCAGCTTTCCGACCATGGACCAGATAAAAGACAACACATGTACTGGTGGGGTGGGAGGCTTAAGATGGTATTGCTCACGTTGGTGAACAGGCTGTCAGAGGCCCATCACGCATCCTTTGGTCTTGCTGCAGGGTGATGGGCTCGAGTAGGTACATTCGTGTTCAGCTAGTTTCAGGCTGTACAATTAGGAGGCAGGTCATTCAGTGCAATGACTTCATCTGAGAGGGCTTAGGGTACACAGAGGAGAACCTCATTTGGTCCAGTCTTAGAAAGCATGTGTCACTCTGCTGGTTGTGATGGGATTACTTTCCAAAGGGGTTTGTGATAAACCCAGCCATCTCCCTGAAACAAGTAAAAGGGATTAAAGCAGCACTCTGCCAGCATCTCCAGTCAGAAACCTAGCCAGGAGCAACAGCAAAATGGAGCTTCCCAGAGACCCAGACCATGCCTGCAGCTTATGGGGACACTCCAGTTTGAATGTAAATGGTCCCTACATTCTGATGGTGGTTAAAGGGGTTCAGCAACCTTTCACAGGGGGCAGTGAGCCACTGGAGGACTTCAGGTCTGTGGGGGATTCTGCCCAGCTCTGCCTTCTAACGACCTGACTGACAAGATGACAGACACAATTAGCCTTGTCAGGTGCCCAGCATGCCCCTGCCAGCCACCAAAACAGACTACAGCCCTAAATAGTGAGCCAGAATGCAACCCTCCCCCAATTCAGTGTAAGGGACTTTGTCAGAGACAAAACGAAAGTAACTGCTGTGTGGAAATACCACTTCTGACTGTTGGACACGTAATTCTACAGAGGTCACCTATAGCAATCCTGTGGTGATGATGCAGAAAAGCAGACTGCAGCAGACAGACGATCAGGAATGTGGCAGTGCAGGCCAGGGAATGAGGACTGCAGGCCTGTGTTCACATGAGCTAGGTAAAGTCAGGCCTGAACTGTCTTTATTCCTCACCTCTCTTTCAATTTACAAATAATTTAACAGAGCCAGTCAGGCACTGGACATGTTTTGAGTAAGCTGTGTCTTTGACCGCTGGGCCCTGTTTTAGCAATGAATCCCAAAGATGGGTTTATGCATATTTACCAAACTTAACCCCACCCCCCTGGTCATTTGTACCCATTCTTTCACACTGCCTTGTGCCTAGAAATCCCTGCTTGTTGACATCAAATTCAACACTGGGTTTACTCTCTGCAACTGGTTTTACTGGGACATCCCTTCATGTCACCATATGAAACCATCTGGTCTAGAGACCTCAGTATGTACACTGTTCTTTGTCTGCTAACCACATTATATAAAGTCATATGAAACACTGATCACATGCTACCCAATCACCTTACTTTATACACAAAACAGGCTTTGAACTTCTGGTTGGTGGCACACAGCTATAATTCCAGCAATTGTAGGTTGAGGCAGGAGGATTGAGTTTGAGTCTAGCAGAGAGGAAATGGAGGCTGTGAGAAGTGAAAGTTCTCACACAATATTTACCAAGCATCTGTGATATGCTAAGCTCTGTGGAGAATAGGGGGGACACAGCAATGTCTCTATACCCTAGGAGCAAAGAGCCCGCATGAGGACACAGCTCACAATTTAGGGCTGGCAACCAGCTTCTCGTGTGTGACCACACATCACCATCTAGTCACACACAGAGCAAGGACAGGCGCCCACACCAGACAACTCTACCCTGTCTGCTGCACTTGTGTCAAGCCTAGAACATGCAAGGGAAACAACAAAGGGACCCGGATCTGAGTCTCTATTTCTAAACTATGATTCCAGTGACAGTTACCAAAGAACATCATCTAGGCTAGGACAAACACATATTTCATTAAACTTGTTATCATTTTTTTTCATCTGCCTACCATCCCAGTGTGTGGGAATAAAGGGTCTGGCAAATGGTTTAGCAGTTAAGAGCACTTGCTGCTCTTGCAGTGGACCCATGTTTAGTTCCCAGTACCCTCACGGGTAGTTTACAAGTGTAACTCCAATTCAAGGAGCTCTGACACCCTCTTCCGGCTTCCTCAGGCACTAGGCACATATGTGGTATACATGTACACATGCAGATAAACACTCATACACATAAAATAAACCTTTAAAAGATTATGAGGTAGGTTCTCAGTATCCCATACAAATAATAAATGGTAGTTTGGATGAAAATGGCCCCCAAAAGTTCAAAGGGAATGGCACTATTAAGAAGACGAGGTGTGGCCTTACTGGAGTAGGTGTGGAGGAAGTGTGTCCCTGGGGGTGGGCTTCAGGTTTCGGAAGCTCAAGCCAGGCCCAGTGCCACTGTCTTCTTACTGCCTTCTGACCTTCTCCAGCACCATGTCTACTTGTATGTGGCCATGCTTCCTAATGTGAGGATAATGGACTAAATCTCTGAAACTGTAAGCCAGCCCCAATTAAAAGCTTTCTTGGAATCAACATGTTAAAAGGAAAGGAACAACTTCATGTTGGTTCCAGGAAGGTTACCTACCAGGTTAAGTGACAAATGACTTTACCTACTAAGCTATCTCACTAGCCTCATCTCTACTTTTTTATATGAACAAATAAACATTTGTAATTGCTACTCAAAATTACATCCAGGTAACCTGGGTTAAAGAAATAAGAACAACAGGAACATATCTATCTATTGTTAAAGAGTAGCTCTGGGCTGAGCAGGGAGTTCCTGTAAAACAGGACCTAAAGGGTAGCCCTAATCCACTGATCCACCCACTCTCCCATCGACCCATTCATTCTTCCTCCATTGATTTTTTGAGAAAGGTTTTCACAGATTATCCCTAGCTGGCCTGGAAGTCTGTACCAAGCAGGTTAGCCTAGAAATCACAGAGATCTGTCAGTGTATCCTTCTGCCTCCTAAGTGTGTGCCTTAAAGCATGCACCATCATGTCCAGTAGTACCCTGACATTCTTGCTACTAACATGACATGTGCCATATTACCTTCATATTAGCGCATGTGAACCCCTCTGCTCACAAAAAAAAAAAAAAAAAAAAAAAAGAGAGAGAGGAAAGAAAAGGAAATATAAAAAAATAGCTGGTAAAAATTTAGAAAAAAGGTACAGAAGCTATTAAAATGTATTATGGAATTTAAAAAACAAAACCTTTTATTACTGTATGTGTAAATGTCCAGTCACGTGTGTGCAACAAGGCACATATGTCAGAGCACAACCTTTGAGAGCATGCAGGTGGAACAGGAGTTATAGGTAGTGTAACTAAGAATAGTCGTCCACAAGGGTAATAGTGCTCATAAATACAGTTACCTCTCCACTCCTAATGATGGATTGATTTTTTTTTTGTTTTGTTTTTGTTTTTTCAGACAGGGTCTCTCTATATAACTTTAGAACCTGTCCTGGAACCAGCTCTGTAGACCAGGCTGGCCTCGAACTCACAGAGATCCACCTGGCTCTGCCTCCAGAGTGCTGGGACTACAGGTGTGCACTACCACCTCCCAGTGTGTTTTTGATTGTTATACAGTGTCTGCTGATGTTTGCAAGACTTGTTTGGTGGTAATTTGGGCTCTAGTCAAATATTTGAACTTTTTGGTTCTGGTGATCAAACCCAGAGCTTTTTAAAATGCCAAGTGAATACTGTACCACTGAGCTTTTCTTGCAGCCCCTCATAAACATTTCTGTGCAGCAAGCCCATATACTGTAAAGAAACTTATGATAATGCATTACTGGCTTTCTTTCTTTATGCCAATTATCACTACATCTAACCACTTCACAACTTCTGCATGGCCAATAATGTTTCTCCTGTCACCCTTAAAATGTTATTTGAGAAGTGAACAGAGCTTAAGATGTGATGCAAAAGATAGTCAACTATATTCTGCACCTCCTACTATTAAACATTAGGTTAGCATTTTAATTTGTGGCCCACTTTAATCTCCATATATTTCGCTGATCTGTGGGAAAGCTGTATTACTTGGATAAATCATGGAAGGCTCATGAGAATGCTCCTAGTTAAGCTAAACTGTGTGTGTGTGTCCCTGTTTTAAAAATTGCATGTATTTATTATTTTGTGTGTGTGTGTGTGTGTGTGTGTCTGTGTCTGTGTGTCTGTGTGTATAGGTCAACTCTGGGAGTCTGTCCTCTTCTTCCACCCTGTTGATCCCAACCAACAACTCAGATCAGTGGTCTTGGTGACAAGTGCCTTACCCACTGGGCCACCTTGAGGGCCATCTACCTTATTTTTGAGGCAGGGTCTCTCACTGAAGTTGGAGCTCTCCGATTCACTGGATTGGTTGGCCAGCTCTGGAACCACAGCTCTTTATGTGGGTTGTGGGGGTCTGGACTCAGGTCCTCATGTTTACACAGCAAGGTCTTTGCTGTCTGGCCACCACCCCAGCCCCTAGCTAGACTGCTTTAGAAACAAAGATGTACAGGAGCCAGTGACTCAACATGACTTAGGTAAGCCAGAGTTCTGTCCGAACGCATGCAGAACATACCTCTTTAATAAAATATTTGGTTTTCCAGGGTGTGCCTGTTTCAGTCCGATGTCTTTCTTCAGTTCTCTGGCGTTCTTCCAAGGTACGTTTGTGTTCTGTGGCCTTGTCAATTTCAGATTCCCTCAGAGAATCTGTTACATTTTTCCACAATCGTCTACAATTAAAAGTGGCCTATATTACAAGCATTCTTTTAAAAGGGATAATTTAAAAATCCCAGTAATTTCTTCCTTCTTTTTTCTTTATTTATTCTGACCACAGTTTCCCCTTCCTCCTCTCCTTCCAGCAGCCTCCCCCTAGTAATTTCTAAACTACAGATCTACATCTCACAGCTGTGAGTTTCAAGAGCAGACAGGGCCCTATTGTTGACACCCAGACTGATGCAACTGCTGATGGATTCTAAATGAACAAGTTCAGTTAAGAAGCACTTCCTCAAGTTTCCTAAAAACAAGATAGCTGTTCTTAGGAAACTTACAAAAATTAACAAGTGACATATTTTTTAAAAGGGTGAAATGTATGAGGCTGAAGATATGGCTTGCCCAACACATGTGGTGCCTTCAGTTCCCAGCTGCACATAACACCAGGCATGGTGGCGCACCCTTTAATCCCAGTGCTTAGGAGGTAGAGGCATGAGAATGAAAAGGCTATACAGAGAGTCTATGGCCAGCCTGAAGCACAAAGAACCCCCACAACACAAAGAGAAGACAAATAGTCCAATAAAAGACAGTATAACCACTAGTGCTCCATACCTATTAGAATATAGGAGACACACAGTGGGGGCTGTGAAGAGACTGGAAGTGGAATTCAATACCAATGGGAATGTAAAACAGAACTCTAACTTTGGAAAATAGCAATTTTGGATATTTACCCAGGAAAATGAAAATGCATGCCCACACAAAAGCTGGTCATAAAATGTTCACTTTTATGATCCATCATAGCTTCAAACTAGTAATGTGTATCAGCTACAGAATGGATTTACATACCCACAATGGAATACTATTCAGCAATTAAAATAAAGAAACTGACTACTGATACATGCTGTGTGATAGCTAAGGGAAGAAAATGGACACAAGGGCCATATATTATATGATTCCACATATAGAAGATACCCAGAAAAGGCACAGACAAAAAGTAGATTGTAGATCTCTGGGCTATGAGTGGGAGTAGGAAGTCGTTGTGAATAGAACAGCTTTCAAGTTTTGGACAACAGAGGCTGTTTCAAAAACACAAAGTAATGGGATACAAGTAAAACAGCCTTTAAAGGAAAAACATACTGTATTAAACATTTCGGGAAACAAACAAACAAACAAAAAAAAAAAAAAACATGCTGATCTAAATCAGGAGTTACACTGTGGCCACTGGTCATTTTTGTCCCCCCCCCCCCAAAAAAAAAAAAAAACAAAAAACAAAAAACAAAAAACCTTACAACAATGTCCAGCTATTTACTAACAACATGTTCATGGCTCTCTTGTTACAATGGTAGAATCAAGCAGTTGTACCATCTGCCCCATTAAGCCTCAATAAGTCTCTGCCCAGGCATAGACACTCACAGCACATGCCACGTGAATTTGATCCTCAGAACCAGGGGGACGAGATGGGGTAGGGGGCACCACCCAACACAGGAGGGGGAGTGTGCACACACTGCTAAAAAAGTCTCTGACTCAAGTGTTTCCTTTAACATTACTAGGAAAAGAGATTTAAAAATGACGACAAAATAGAAAAACAGCACTATAAAGAATAGAAAACATTTAAAAAAGAAATCATTTTTGTTTAAAAAAAAAAAAATCAATGAAACCAAAAGATGGTTGAGTATAATTAAATCTTTAATCACACTGATCAAGGGGGGGAGATCTAGTATAAAGAATGAATCTGGGGGCTAGATCAATGGCTCAGTGGTTAAGAGCACTGGCTGTTCTTCCAGGGGACCTGGGTTCAATTCCCAGCACCCACATGGCAGCTCACAACTGTCTATAACTACAGTTCCAGGTAATGAGTCTGGGACATCACTACATATCCTATATAGATCCATAGAGGTAATAAATACTAGTAACTGCCAATAAAATGATAAATTAGATGAACCAATTTCTTTAAAGATACAAATTAGCACACCCTTAATCCCAGACTCAAGTAGATCTCTGTAAATTCCAGACCAGCCAAGGCCATGCTCTAGTGAGACCCTGACTCAAAAAAAGATGGGTAACTGTGAAAGCCCTATACACTGAAGATAAAAATTAAACTTTCCTCCAAAGGAAACTACTGGTAGACAGCTTCAAAAGACAAATACAAAATTAGGAAATACCATTCAGCAGTGTCTCTTCAATGTCAGTTTGATAACAGTGTCTGTTTCTACATTCAGTCTACTGTGATAGTTACTTTAGTGGAAGCAGACAAAGAAAAACAGGCTTAGAAAGACCCAGTTGCAAAAGAGTTTTTCTTTTTTTTTTAATTTTTCTCAAGACAGGGTTTCTTGTGTAGCTCTGGCTGTCCTGGAACTAGTTCTGTAGACCAGGCTGGTCTCAAACTCACAAAGATCTGCCTGCACTACCACCTCCCAGGCTTGCAAAAGAGTATTTTAATGAAATTGTCAAGTAATTCAGATCTTTGGCGTTACGTGAAAACATGGCCAGTGGCGGTGTGCTTTTGGAATATTTAATTTGTTACTGGGGGAGGGAGTCACACAGTGTGCTGTGGGGGTTAGAGGACAGCCTTGTGGAGTTAGTGCTTTCCTTCCACCTTTTACATGGGTTCTGAGGGTCAAACTCAGGTTGTCAGCTGTGCATGGCAAGTGCCTTTACCCTCAGAGCCATCTTAGGCAACTAGGAGCTTTCCAGGTTAGTTTAATGTAAGAGACAAAATCTTGCCAATTACTTTTCATACTTGTTATTATATACCATACAATGTCATACTGGCAGGAGTTTTCAAATTAAATAAATCAGACCGACTTGTTCATTTTATAGATGGCAAAGCTCATACAAACTGCAGCGTGACTCGTGAAGTGGCGTAACTAGACTGCACAGCGCTCCCGATCTTCCTGCCTGGGCGAGGGGTGACCTACCTGGATTCAAATGGAGCCTGCTTCTCCAGAGGCCTTACTCTCTTCTTTGTCACAGCCAGTTTAGTCAGGTCCACGGACTTGGTCTCCCCGCTGCTGTAGGTGAACTCCAGAGTGCTGTTCCACTCCCCCTGTGCCCTGCACACCACAGTGTTGGTGACATTGTGCTTCACTTCAGCGGTGACTCTAAAGCGGTGGCAAGCAAAGGACACAGCTCAAAAACCCACTTTAAATTAGCTACTGAGCACATTTCAACCTGTCAGCCCCTAAGTCAGTGAAAGCAGTCCTGTGCCAGGTCCCTTGATGGCTGTTCAGGCTCATGGGTTTTATTCTACAGAAAGAATATTAGGCATCAGACTGGACTTCGTTAGCATAAATGGAAAATCATGCCTAATGTGCTACTAGAGTCTAGAAAATGTGACAGCACTATAATCTAGCTCTCTCCCACTGGCCCATCAACCCAAAACATTTACAATTCTAGAGATCAAGCACCCAATACTCAAAAGTGGTTAAAGGCAAAGCATGTGCCACCATGCCAAGCCCAAAAAAACTATTTTAACTTCAATAAAAAACCTGGGTGAGTCATTGAGAGTTAGAAAAATATGAAATACAATTAAGATTATAAGTTCCATGGGTAAAAGAGAAAAGTGAGGAGTAGCAATCTATGAATGTATATGTAGTTCATATGTATGAATGGAGTCATCCAGCTGCCAACAGACAGCTGTGCTGAGGCGGCTCAGGGGCTCAGGAGGAAGGCACAAAGAGAAATGGCTCTTTTGTTTTACAAGACAGGATTTTTCTATATTGCCTTGGAAGCTGTCCTGGAACTAGCTCTTGTAGACCAGGTTGGCCTCGAACTCATAGAGATCTGCATGCCTCTACCTCCCAAGTGCTAGGAATCAAAGGCATGTGCTACCACGACCCAGCCAAAAAAAAAAAACCCAACCAGCTCAAACATGTTTAATGAAGTGTATGTTTCCTATAGAACAAAGGTAAGTTCAGAAAGTCAGGGAGAGGGTAGAGGTTAAAGGTCAAGGTATAATGAATGTCTAGAGCCTGTGATTTATTTCAGTCCAAAAGAGAACTTGGAAGACTCAAGGAATGAGGTGGCATTTGCCATGTGTGTACAAGGCAGGAAGCCAGGAAGGAAGGAAGTGAGCTGTAAACTTGGAGCTCAAAGCAGGTTGGCAAAGAGCCCAATAAAGGAAGGGCCTGTGAGCCAGATCTTGGGGGCCAAGGTGAATGATGGTTTGGAGTGAAGAACAAACATTCAAAATAGCAAGTTAGATATGGCTTACATACATATCACCAGGCATACACACACGTGTGCATGTCATGTGTGTGCTTGCACACAAACACACACACAAAATAAAAGTAAAAATTATTACTAGTGGCCTAGTACACAATGGGAAACAGGCCTTGGTAAAGAGAAAAAAAACTCTGCAAGTATACATGGGAAAATCTCTAAAATCTAACATTGAACAAAATAAGCAGGGTATAAAAGACAACATATGTATGATATAATTTATACGGGGTTTAAAACTATGTGTGGTGTTAGCAACCAGCACAGTGGCTACCCAAAGTGGGAGGGTGGCAATGGTTAGCCCAAGAGAGGAGGGAGAAACTAACAATCAAGAAAAAGTCCTCGGGGATGTTAGGAATTTACTACAGTGAGGTAAAGCTTTCCAGTCTGAAAATTCATGACTTTGTATGTTCCTGTATGGATGCTATTTTTAAATAAAGAATTTATAGGAAAACTACCCCATGCTTCCAGAACAGCCAAAGGCGTGAGGAAAGAGTGGGGAGTCTCAAGATCCTATCAGACACACTTGTTTGTGCGTCTGAGTGATCTGCAAAAGTGCTGCAGACAGAGGCTGACCTGCAGGAGAGGACACAGTGGAGAGGACACAGTGGCTGATTCCCAGAAGAAATCAGAGTCCACTGAGGACCGGCCGCTGGACGCGCACTTCCAACTTGTGTTACCTTACATTTAGACATATTTCTACCTATTTCTACCCTAGCTTGTAGTAGTGGCCTCCTTCACTGAGCTTGGAATCTGACTCTGAATTCCTTTGGTGTGAACTGTGGCACAGACCACATACTGGTTTGTTAGAAATTCTAGTTTACATGTTGTTAACAACATCACAGGAAAATAGGAAAACATTACATGAGTTGGCATGTTAACATTACTGTTTTAAAACTAGATCACAATTTCCAGAGTGCTTTTTTCCCTTTTGTGTGTGTGTCCATTTGTGGTTGTTAGCTGGGTATGGTGGCACATATCTGTGAGTTCAGGGAAAGACTCTTCTCTAAAACAAGTTCCAGGACAGCTAGAGCTACACAGAGAATCCATGTCTTAAAACACAAACCCAAGCCCAAACCATGTGTACTGCACATCTGTGTGCGTGTGTAAGCCCAAGGCTGTAGTTAGGAATCCTCTTCTGGTGCTTTTCCACCTTATCCTCTGAGGCAGAGCCTCAAAATCAGAGCTAAAGCTCTAATCAGTTTACTATAGGGATCCCCTCACCCTGCCTAAGGCTAGAGTTACAGGAAAGTCAACACACCCACCAGTATATGTAGGGTCTAAGGCTCTGAACTCCAGTCATCTTGCTTGTGTGGTAAGACTGTAACAGTTTTGCACACATGCGCGCACGTGCACACACACATACACCTCCATCTCCTCCACAGAAGACAAGGCAGAAAAAGAACAAGCAGTTACAATACAAGATCAAAGAGCAGAGCAAGAACCAGACACTACTAAAGCATTCTTACCGGTGCAGTTTGCCGCCATAAAACGGCTTAGTGTGAAAAGTGATGCTGGCTGAGTAGCCTGTTTTTGCACAGTTGACACCAACTTTGCCACCTAGTTCCACCCAAGGAACAGTGAGAATGGACCGGGCATATGCACAAGGCAGGGAAAACGTGTACTCTTCTCCATGCTCCAACAAACTAAGGATACCTGGATGTAAAAGTATGAGACTGGTTAATGTGTCTCCCAAAAAACATCCTTTTTCCTATCTGGAATAATAACAGACATTATTAACATTATTATTTTGTACTCTATCTTTTGATAGTATTGACTGCATTTAGTGGCATATCCAGTTTAGATACTGAATCACGGCTACTTTCATTGTGACCTTCCTGTTGCTCTTGTGTTTGTGGGACCTGTAACTGTTAAAGTGCAAGCTGTCACACAAAGCCCTGGGCTGGGGGGAGCTGCTGTGCAGCATCATGCTGAGACCAGCAGCTTGGCTGTCACTCATTCTGGTCAACATATGTTACAGACCCAAATATAATCTTTTCCTCGAGAACTATCATCATCCCAAGTTTTAATTGCCAAACTCTAAAGCTACTAGAGGTATAAGAGATCAAAATTGCAATTTTCAAACAAATATTCTGTTGGGGGCTTCTGTATCAATAATGTTATATTAAAGTAGCTAAAACATATAGAAAGGACTTATAATAGTAAATAACTGATCTGTATAAGATGAGACACACTAAGTATACCCAAGCTATGCCGCTACCTTCAATTTTATCTATTGTATTTCATTTAAGTGTAAGTATGTGTATACAAAGGCCAGAAGACAACCTTCGGTGTTGTTCCTCATCCACCTTTTGTTTTGGAGACAGGGACTTTTACTACCCTAGAACTCATCATGAAAGCATGGGTGACTACCCAGTGAGTCCTCGATCCACTTGTCCTTACCTCCCCGGCAATGGAATCACAAACTAGGGCCTTATTCTTTTTTTTGTTTTTGTTTTTCTTTGGGTTTTTCAAGACAGGATTTCTAGTTGTAGTCCTGGCTGTCCTGGAACTTGCTCTGTGGACCAGGCTGGCTTTGAACTCACAGAGATCTGCCTTTGAGTGCTATTATTAAAGGTGTGCATCACCACCACCCAGCCCTAGGTGGCTTATTCTTATAAGTTACAATATTGAAAAGTTTAGAATAATCAAAAATAAATGGAACTGGTTGTGGTGGCACACAGGAAACAGAGGCAGAAGGATTTCTGTGAGTTTAGGGCCATCCTGGTCTATATAGTGAGTAGTAGGCCAGTCAGGGTTACACAAAGACCCTGTTTCAACCAGGCTTGAATAAATATAGGGGAAGTAAGATAACAGAATACTAAAATCTCAGTAATTAAATTGATTTCCCTCTAATATTAAAGATCATAAATAACAAAAGCAAAATGAATGATCATAAAGCCCATTGCGATTGTATGTATGTGGGGGGTGCGTACATATCTGTGCTTTCATGTGCGCATGTGCATGAGGCTAGAGGCTAACACCCAGCGTCTTCCTGTAACAAGGCTGATCCTAAAATCGGAGCTCTGCTGGCCTCTGCCTTGGAGTGCTTCAGGTAAGCAGTGCCTACCACGCCCAGCTCCTACCTTCTTTTTAGGTCAGGTCTCTTACCTACCCATTGCCATGCCTGGCTTTCCTGTCATTGGTGCTAGGACCTGAACTTAGGTGCTCATGTTTGCAAGGCAAGCACCTAACAGACCAAGCATCTCATCATTTCTCCATTCCTTCATTTTATTTACTTGTTGCTAAGGGTAACAGATGGCAGTTTAATTTCCAAAAAGCTATGCCTGAATTCACGAAAGCATTAGATAATGAAGTTACTGTATCTCCCCTCACGATTCAAAGAGTTGAAACAGCACATGCTCCTCCTTACGTATTTGAGAAGCAGAGGCTATACTGCCAGATTATTCTGTTAAAAACTAGTAAGAACAGTTCTCTCCTCTTCTGGGAGCTCATGACAAAGGATGAGGTTCTATATATGCCCAACCTTCACAGGCCCATGTCCCATCACCTCTAGATTTCAACTAATCCTAATCTTAAGAATTAAAATTGAATATACAGGAACAGGAAAAACTATTAAAAGCCACTTCTAATTATCTGTCTCTGGATTAGTGGGCTAGTGATTCTTTTATTTCCTCCTCTGAATTTGTTTGTTTGTTTGAAACAGGGTTCCACTCTGGCTGGCCTGGAACTCACTATGTAAATCAGACATCTTTCCTGCTTTTGTCTCAGGAGTGCTATGACTAAAGGCATGAACCACCACGCTGCAATGTTTCTACAATAAAAATATTTTACAGGTGTGGTGTGCACACTTTTAATTTCAGTAAATTTGAGGCTGGTCTGGTCTTTAGAGTACCAGGCCAGCCAAAGCTACACACAGTGAGACCCTGTCTAAAAACAAACAAACAATCCAAAAATCTTTAAAATTTTAAAATATAATTTAAAGGAGAATTTCTATTTGTCCATAGTAATAGCATATGATTCTGGTATGTCCCAAGACACATTTTGGAGCAAACTAGAGCAAAAAAAAAAAAAAAAAAAAAAAAGTAGTACATGTAACATTTAAAATCTCTAACTAGGAGCTGAGCGTTGGTGGTACATGCCTTTGATCCCAGCACTCAGGAGGCAGAGACAGGCGGATCTCTGTGAGTTCGAGAGCAGCCTGGTCTACAGAGCTAGTTCCAGGACAGGCTCCAAAGCAATGCAGAGAAACCCTGTCTTGAAAAACCAAAAATCTCTAAACTAGGGCTGGAGAGAGAACTCAGCAGTTACAAGGATTGGATGCTCTTGCAGAAGACTTAAGAGGTTCAATTCCCAGTTCTCAACATGGTAGCTCACTGCCTGTAACTCCAGCTGTGGTTACTGCATGCACCAGGTGTACTTACATATTTCACACATGTAGGCAAAATACTCATATACATACAAACAAATCTCAGAAACCCTACAACTAATACCTATACAACCTTTCCAAATTAAACAAGTCCGATATAAAAACTGGGGAACAGTTTTCTACTCACCTTCTCCAACCATTGTTACACCTATTGACATGCCTAAGAATTTGCTTTTAGTCCAGACATGTGCATTTACACACATCTTCCTTTCTGTACATTCTGCATAAAACCCTGAGACTGGAGGATGATGGGAAACCTGCTCAGCAACAAATCTGACAGTGTAACAGTCTGAGGCCCCCTGGGTGAGAGCACCCTCCTGCAGGGGAGCATTATTTGTGAAGGCCGGGGTGGAAGAGCTGCCACTCAAACTGGATGCCATTTCGCTCCTGGGTATCCTCCAGGAGCAGTGGAAAGTTTCCCCAATGATGGGATTGTACGGCTTCTTAGCAATGGCTCCTTTTCGACCTTCATGAAATGAGGTAAGGTAGTACTCAACAAAGCGAATCATTCGGTCCTCAGGTGTGGCTCCATTGGTGATACTTATGAACAAGTCTGGATGAGACATGAAATCTGCATACATCTCCAATAACGAACGCTTCTCCAGGATAAATGTAGGAAGCACCACCTGCAACATCAATGCAAACCAATTATGAAGGAGAATTAATCAGCAAATATATCTGCAGATAATTATCTCTATCATCTAAGAGCATTTCATTGCAAACAAAAGGACTAGTCTTGTAACAAAAGACAAAAATAAAATGAAAACTAAAGCATGTTTAAAAGGAGATGAGACTCCACTAGCATGGTTAAGATTAAATATAAATTCAAGACAAAAAGACTGTTACACAGAAGGACTGACATATTCCAGAGCAGTATGGAATACTCAGGGGTCATGCTCTTGGGTTTCCACACTGCATGAATATTGTATTGGAACCGAAAGTATTGTATGAGACATGCCTTTCTCCTTTAGATTTAATGTTATTATTTTTAATTATCTGTGCATGTGTAGGTATGAATAAATGAGTATGGGTACAGTGGAAGCCAGAAGAGGATGCCAAGTTTCCCTTAATTACAGGTAGTTGTAAGGGCCCAATGAATGTTCTGGAAACCAAACTTAGGTCCTCTGCAAGAGCAGTACTTGCTCTTTACAGCTAAGCCATTCTCTGCAGTTCCCATATCCCTTTCTTCTAAAATATAAACTGTGGGAAGCTGAGCGTGGCAGCAAATGCCGATGATGTCAGCACTTGCATCACGAGGCAGGTCCCTTCAAATGTGAGGCCAACCAGCATGTGCTAGTTAGTTTTTGTAAACAGGACACAAAGCAGGATTTTTTGGGAAGAAGGGAGCTCAAGACACAAGAAAACTGTGTCTATTTGCTTGGTCTGAAGGCAAGTCTGTAGAGCATTCTCTTGATAGTGATTGATGTGGGAGGGCCTAGGCCATTGTGGGTGGTGCCACCCCTGGACTGTAAGCCCTGGATGATATAAAAAAAGAAGGCTGAGCAAGACACAGGGAATAAGTCAGTAAGCAGCATCCTCCATGGTCTCTGCTCTAGTTCCTGTCTCCAGACTCCACCCCCACCCCAAAGCACTGTGTGTCCTAGAACTCTTTGTAGACCAGGCTGGATTCAAAGGGATCCACCTGTCTCTGCCTGAGTGTACCAGCACTGCCCAGCCCTGTCTCCAGGTTTCTAGCCTGACTTCATGACAAACTGTGAGTTGTAAACTGAAACAAACTCTTTTTTTCCTCCAAGTTGTTTTCAGTCAGTGCTTTATTTATCACAGAGACAGAGGAGCAAACTAAGATACAGAGCTACACAAGACACTATGTTAATAAAACAAAGCAAACAAAGAACTGTAGGTGACAGACTAGCCCCACACACAGAGGCATTTGCTGCTCTTACAGAGGATCCAGTTTGGTTCCTAAGACCCATATGATGGCTCAGAACCGCCTGTAACTTCAGTTTCAAGGGGTCCGCTGCACTCTTCCGACTCCTATGCTGTCACTCACGCACATGGTGCACACATATCTCACGTGGTACACATATATATAGGTGAAACACTCAAATCATAAAATTAAATAAATAAATCTAATTTTTAAAAATTCCATTTCTAGCCAGGCATTGGTGGCACACACCTTTAGTCCCAGCACTCAGGAGGCAGAGGCAGGAGGATCTCTGAGTTCGAGACCAACCTGCTTTTCAGAGCTAGTTCCAGGACAGGCTTCAAAGCAATACAAAGAAACCCTGTCTCGAAAATCCAAAACCAAAATCCATTTCCTGAGAATGAGAAGGTCAAGGGTTGGGATGTAGCTCAGTGGGCAGAGTGCTTGCCTAGCACGGACAAGACCCAGGTTCACACAGGACCTGAGTTCATTGCCTAACATCACATAAAACTGGGCCCACACTGGTAATCTAAACACTTGGGAGGTGGAGGCAGGAGGACTCCAAGTTCAAGTTTTTAGTTAATAAAGAACAAGTAAGGACAAGTACATAATAGCCACTTGTCACAAAAGAGAGCTTTTCCACCTGAGTTACTAGAACACTTTTAGTAGGTGTTCTTATGTTTCATAAACCTCACTGCTGCTTTATGCCTTTTCAACCTAAAATCTAGTAAGGGACAGAAAACATCATACTTACAAATACCAGATAATCCCTCACCAGACTAGAATTACAACCACAACTAGAACCACAGCTGGCGAAATAAATATCTCTTCTGGACTGCTAATATGAAAACATTTTTGAGAGAATATTACCAACTAAAGTCTGAAGTGAAAGATTAATAGTCTCATTAGTTCCTAAATGCTGCCCCTTGGTGGAATCCTGATGGAACCCAATCCCCTTTGAAGTCTTTCATCAGGGGCTGTTAGATGGCTCAGTAGGTAGAGGGACTTGCATTGCAAGCCCGACGACCTGAGTTTGATCCCTGGGACCTATGATTAAAGGAAAGAATTGACTCTTGCCTGCACATATCATATAAATATACATAGCTTAAAAAAGGAAAAGCTCCTATAAAGCACATTAAATCTAAGTTAAAACAAACAACCTCCCCAAAACCAAACATATAAAAAAGAACAGTGTTTTTATCTTTCCAGTGATGAAAAATCAATTCTAAAGGCAAAAAGCTTTTGATTTAAAGTTCCATAACAAATGTGCATGGGAAACAATCTTTCATCTCTACATTTACAGCCTGCAATGGAACCCAAATGTCAATTTGTAGAGACATCTAAGTAGCCCAGGCTAGTCATGAGCTCCCCATCCTCCTGTTTCGATTTCTCCTGTCAAGGATTGCAGATGTGAAGCTCTACGCTGGGCTGTCTATTGTCAGCAGAGAGGCACACGAAACAGCCCTGGCCTCCCAGGCACCTGACCTGGAACTTACTCTCGTTAAATCCATGCCCAGCTTGAGCTGTGACAAGAGATGCAGGATAACACTGCGCTGCTCCTCCACGGCCCCCAGGTCATCTTCCTTGTTGTCATAGGTATCCTCTATTTCATCATCTGCATCAATCTCTTCAGGTTCCTTAATATGGAAGAGAGCAGAATCCAGTATTTAACATTTACTAAGAAAAAACCAGTTCAGCCTTGATGACATTTATACTAAGTCTAAACAAATCAGTGTGGGCAAAACCCTTCTGAAAATACAACTCCCATCATCAAGCCAGGAAAAACATTTCCTTTGAAGAGACCATAACTGCTGGTACAGAACAGATGGTGCTCATGTGACTTTTTTTTCCTCTCCCTCCTTGAGACATAGTCTGTGTAACCATAGTTAGTATGTATCAAAACTGGCCTCAAACTTATGGCAATTCTCCTGTCTTAGCCTGAGTACTGAGATCACAAGAATATGCTGACATGCCCAGCTAAAATATATTAATTTTGCAGAAACAATATTTTTCAAAAAGAGCAAAGAATGTCCCCTGAATAAACTCAGCTTTGACCCTAATCTGGAATCCACTATATCTTTTAAAGTGATTTTTGTCTGTTTTGAGAAAAAGTCACTTACTACAGAAGGCAAGCTGGCCTTGAACTCAGCCTCTCAAGTCTTGGAATTACAGGCATAAGTCACCAAACCTGGTTAAATTCAGGAGGTTTTGTTTTAAATTTTTATTTATTAATTAAAAAACCTATATCTTTTATCTGTGTGTGTGTGTGTGTGCGTGACAGGCGCGCACACACACACACACACACACACAGGTGCCAGCAAAGGCCAGAGGCCGCAGATTCCCTGAATCTGGAACTGTGAGTCACCCAATTTGAGTGCTATGACTACACTCAGGTCCTTTCAAGTACAGTATGACCTCTTAACTACTGAGCATTTCCCCAACCCTAAACTGAAGAGTTTTAAGGATAAATATTTGTCCTTGTTTAAGCTAAAGCTATAAAGCAAAATATAAGTGAACGCACACACGTCAACTCTAACTATTGCAAACCTTATTTTGCTATTCACTCATGACGGAAAAGGTTTGTGATTGAAGAGATTCCAGATTCACATAAAAACTCTGTGGCCTGTCAGGCAGTCACAATGCCAACAAAAGTCCTTCATGAGGAGTTTTAATCAATGATCCCTTAGACAACTGAAAATGTATACATCCATCTCACTAGCTCCTAATGACTAAACAATTGCTTATTTAAATTTTTTAGGGTTTTTTGTTGAAGGTGAGGTTAGGGCTTCACTATGTAGTCAAAGTTAGCCTTACTGCTCAGTATTTTGTTTGTTTGTTCGTAAACAGTTTCAAATGGCCCAGGTTGGTCTTGAACTTCATATGTCTTTGAACTCCTGATTGTCTTGCATTCACTTCCCACATGCTCAAATTACAGACATGCATCCACTTGGGTTCTGACTGTGTGTGTGTGTGTGTGTGTGTGTGTGTGTGTGTGTGTGTGTGTGTGTGCGCACGCGCGCATGCGCGCGCGCCTGTCTGTCTATCTGTCAGTGTGTCTGTGTGTCTGTGTGAAGGCCAGGGGTTGATGTCAGAGATTTTCCTCTACGGCTTTTCACTTTACTTTTTCAGACTAGATCTCTCAATGACCTGGAGTTTACGGATTCTTCTAGGCTAGCTGGTCAGTGAGCTCCAGGTACCTGCCTATCTCCATCTCCCTACTCCTGTTCCCCAGCACTGCAGTTAAAGATGCATGGCTGCTGGGGAATCCAAACTCAGAGTTTCATACTTGCATAACAGAAACTGCCAAATGGGCCATTTTCCCAACCTTGCTGGCTTTTAGTTTTTTGCCAGAGTCTCACTCTGTATGTAGGTAGGCTAGCTTGGAAACTCACTTTGTAGTCCAGACTAGCTTTGAACTTGTGGTAATTCTCCTGCCTCAGCCTTTAGAGTGCTTGATTAAAGGCTGGGGCTACCATGCCTGTTCTGTGTAGCTAGACCAAAATCAAACCAAGCACACACAGACATGGACACAGACACACTGAAAAATCTCAAACACGCCAGGTGTAGTGGTGCAGGCCTTTAGTCCCAGCACTTGGGAGGCAGAAGCAGGTGGATCTCTGTGAGTTCAAGACCAGCTTGATCTACAGAATGAGTTCCAAGACAGGACTATTACACAGAAAAACCCTGTCTTGAAAAAACCAAACCAACCAACCAACCAAACAAACAAAAAACCCCAAAGACCAATCTCACTCAGGTACCAAAAAAAAAAAAAAAAAAAAAATTAAGAAAAACAACTATGAAGTTACAAGACAGTGAATTCTAACTGTTACTCTGTTTCATTATTATTATTAGTGTGTATGCTGTGAGTGCAGGTACACATGCGCAGGTCACAGGACAGTTTTGGGAGCCAGTTCTCCTCTTCCTAGGTCCCAGGTGCCAAACTCAGGGCATGAGGCTCACGAAGCAAGCTCTCACCAGCTGCACATCTCTCTGGCCAGGGTTGTCAGCATCCTTTTGCTGTAATTTTCTCCTTTTTCTCTATTTCTTTCCTTCAAAAAGTCTATAAACTCACATTCTGACAAGTCAATTATGGTCTGGTTTACCTCCTATGTTAAGACTGCATAGATATAGCCAGGCATTAGTGTTCCACACCTTTATTCCCCAGCACTTGGAGACAGAGGCAGGTGGGTCTCTGTATAAGGCCAGCCTGGTCTACAGAGCAAGTTCCAAGGCAGCAAAATAAATAAAATAAAATACTGCATCGACAAATTTTGTGTATTTACAGCAGAGAACCTTCTGTTTTTATGACTTGAGGAGCAATGCCAAGACTTTATGTCCCTCTTTTGATGAAGAAGCAGCCTGGAAGGAAGCAGCTACTGCTCTGGAGCCGAGATCCGCTGCACTCTACTTGAACTTTGCTCACTTTTTTTTTGTAAACAGTGGTTAGATGGCATGAAGTAGGTGGCAATGCCTTAACCATATGCATGTTGCTAGGCCCAAGGGCCTCTTCCATCCTTGTCAAGGAGAGTGCTAACCTTCTCTCCTTTCATACAACACAACTTTGTTCACTCTTAAAACAGGTGGAACTGACAGCCCTCTCCACACATGGACCAAATAAAACCATTATGTAAGGTTAAATAATTACAGGAGACCTCAGAGGAAACCCTTCTAGGTCATGATTAGGAATGCTCTGACATTCTGAAAGGTACCATTACATGAGGATGGAACTTGGGCTACAGATTAATAATGCAAACACAACTTCAGAGGATGGGTATCACTCAGAAGGAGCACATGCTCAGTTACCTGAGACCCTAGCACACTCAATCTCAGCACCAAAAACAAAACAGTAACGGTAACAACAGAACCCAGTTACTTTACAGACTTATCCTTCCCTACTGGAAAAAAACATTAAAGGAAAGCAACCAGGTAGAATACCTGTACAAGAATACAGTTTTCCATGTTTAAAGAAATGATTGCATTTATTTACTTACTTTGTATGTGTGGAGAAGTTGTGTATGTGTGGGCACATGTAGGGTATGGCATACACATGGAAGTCAGAGGACAACATGAGGGTGTCCTGAGTCACAGGGATTGAACTCAGGCTGTCAGACTTGACAGCAAGTGCCTTAACTTAGTGAGCATCTCACTGGCTCAATTTTCTTTGTTTTAAAACAAACAAATAATTTATTAGAATAGGAAAAAGGGGGATTTTATTTAATTTTTTTGAGAGGGGAACCTGCTATGTAGACCAGACTGGTCTGGACCTCAGAGACCAGTCTGCCTCTGCCTCCTGAGACTGGGATTAAAGGTGTGTGCCACCACTGCCCAGTGAATTAATTTTTTCTTATTTATATAATGGTACATATGTGTTTATATGTGTGTGGGTGTGCAAGTGCCATGGCACACATGCGGAGGTTGGAGGACAGCTGGTTCTTTCCACCCACCACTTGGGCTCTGTAAACAGAACTTGGGTCATGAGGCTCTGCAGCGAGTACCCTTATCCAGTGAGCCATCTTACCAGCTCAGGCTCCATGGCTTTAGTCAGGTTTGACTGAGGTTTACCCTCTCCCTTAGCTGACAGAAACTGTTTACTATACTACAGGCCTCTCGCTTGCATTCTCTGATACAGAATACACCTGTGGAACTTCTGGACAATAAAGGTCTATTCTGGTATGCTTGAGCAGCATCTAAGGGCTTTGACAATAACAACGGTCTGTGCTATTTTCTGTCTGTACTAGGTCATTTAGTCACCACTAGAAAGATTTGGAAATCTGGCACTCTCCTCCCAGATCCTGTGCCCTATCCCTTACAAGTCTCATTTTGATCCCAATATGCTCTTGGTTCTCATTTGGAATAACATGCTGGCCTATCTAACCTTTAGTTCATGGTCTGTCACTAGGTAATCTCATCTCTAGTCTGGCCCAGTCTCTCCAAAGCTATGGTTCCCTCACCTTAAGTGTTCTTCAGAAACATTACATAACCCCTCCTGTAACATTCAACATGCTCAGAGTCACAATAAACCTTGCTCAGAATCAGCTTTCTGACTAACAACACAATTTCCTGGAACTAGCTCCATAGCCCAGGCTGGCCTTGAACTCACAGAGATCTGCCTGCCTCTGCCTCCCGAGTGCTGGAATTATGTTGTTTAATCACATTTTAATTCCAAGTCATATCATGTAGTGACATAGTCCTTCTGTATCACTGACCACGCCCATTGGGGGGTGGAGCGATGGGTGGAGGTGACCTGAGGAAGGAGGTCGGAGGGGGCCAGGAAGGCGCTCTCTCTTTCTGGCGTGACTCGGACAGGAGAGGATCGGGTTGAATTCCCTGGTGTTCATCTGTCTAGGTTGTAAGTTATTTCTCCCTGAATAAACATCTATTCGGCCTATTTGTTTATCCTGATCCTTATTTACCGCAATAATATCATATGCCAATCTTCCATATATCCCTCTCCCAGGCACATAACCCTACTGTCTCTCACATTAAGACTAAGTCCTGCCTATTTCTTTGGGAGCATGGATCACACCACATGTGTGATCTCCATGGAATAATGCTGCAGGAAATACGACTCTACATTGAGTACATGACTAAAGTACATGACAATCCTGAGATTGGCTATTACAACGTAACTCTGCTAAGATAACTTTATCCTTATGACAGGCTCACAAGGCATTATCATCACGACTTTACAGGTGAGGAAGCTGAAAGCCCAACTTTAAAGATTTGTCTCCAAAGCATTTCTCTTCTGCATCACTCAGTATTTTTTTTTCCCTTTCTCTGGGGAAGAAATCACAAGAGTGTAAATCATATTAATGAAGGGAAATATTTTATCCTATCACCTGCTTGTTTTAGTGCACAGAAGTTGTGGCTGCATACAGATTCCACGCCTCTTCAATGAAATAACGATGCCTTCTCGTTTATGTATCTCCTCTAATTCCAGACAGCTTGGTAACTACAAGTGTGTGTCACTGAATGTTATTTACTTATTTATCCTGCTTTTCTGATTTTCAGCTCTCTGGCTCTAGCACCTTTTCATAAATTCAAAGTCTGTGCCAGGTTTGGACTAGTGTCTTATCTCTTAAGAAAAAACTTGCTGGTGTACAAATATTCATAAAGTCTGCATTATTCCTGACTTATTAATTCTATTTGGGACATAATGTAAAGAAATAATAAAAAATTGGGAAGGGAAATAATACTTAACAATAGTGTTATTTAGGGGAGAGGGAGTTAGAAGAAAAGGGCAGAAGAGGAGGGGAGAGGTGGGCATGATGGAGCAGAAAGACTGAGACAGGGGAAGAATAGAGGAGAGCAAGAAAAAGAGATAGCATAATAGAGGGAGCCATTATAGGTTTAAGGAGAAATCTGGCACTAGGGAAATGACCAGAGATCTACAAGGATGACCCCAATTAAGAATCTAAGCACTGTGGAGAGGCTGCCTTAAGTGCCCTTCCCCGATAGTGAGATTGATGGCTACCTTATATGCCATCCTAGAACCTTCATCTAGTAGCTGATGGAAGCAGAAGCAGACACCCACAGCTAAACACTAGCCGAACTCCTGGAATCCAGTTACAGAGAGGGAGGAGTGATGAGCAAAGGGGTCAAGACCAGGCTGGAGAAACCCACAGGAACAGCTGACCTGAACAAGGGGGAGCTCATGGATCCCAGTCTGATAGCTGGGCAATCAGCATGGGACTGGGGGTATTAGTTAGGAGGATGGGCAGTCAGTGGGGCCTCTAACGATGGATCAGTATTTATCCCTAGTATACGAATGGACTTTGGGAGCCCATCCCACAAAGAGGGATACTCTCTCAGCCTAGACAATGGGAAAGGGTCTAGGCCCTGTCCAAAATGATATGACACTTTGAAGACTCCCCATGGAAGGCCTCACCCTCCCTGGGGAGCAGAACGGGGATGGGCTGGGGTTTGGTGGAGGTGACAGGGGAGGATGGGAGGATGGAAGGTGAGGGAACTGGGATTGACATGTAAAACAACCTTGTTTCAAATTTAAATTAAAAAAGTAAAAAAAAAAAGTAAAGATATAATCGTGTTATTGCTAATAATAGGAAGAACAAGTCAGACATTCAACAACAGGGACATTAACTCAGTATCTTATTTTGACTTTCAAACATTAATTATATAGGCCAGACCAAAAGACAGAAAACAGCTTTTCAATTATCTATGTAATTATAGTAGGCATAAAAATTGCAGACTTGAACATAAAAGGCAAAGCAAACAAAACAAAAAAAAAAAGGACATAATTTTTAATAGAATGTCTACAGCAGAATACAACACTGTAGCTCATGGAAACACAAATTGAGCACCACTTTATTTAACTATTAAAGCCCTAGGTCAAGTGACACAGTAGCATCTGCAACAACTGCACTGGAAACCTTTCCCTATAGTCAGCGGTTTACAATCTCAACAACTGCACTGGAAACCTTTCCCTATAGTCAGCGGTTTACAATCTCAACAACTGCACTGGAAACCTCTCCCTACAGTCAGTGGTTTATAATCTCAACTGCACCGGAAACCTCTCCCTACAGTCAGCGGTTTACAATCTCAACAACTGCACTGGAAACCCCTCCCTACAGTCAGCGGTTTACAATCTCAACAACTGCACTGGAAACCTCTCCCTACAGTCAGCGGTTTACAATCTCAACAACTGCACTGGAAACCTCTCCCTACAGTCAGCAGTTTACAATCTCAACATCTGCACTGGAAACCTCTCTCTACAGTCAGCAGTTTACAATCTCAACTGCACCAGAAGCCGCTCCCTATAGTCAACAGATTACAATCTGAACAATTGCACTGGAAACCACTCCCTACACTCAGCAGTTTACAATCTCAACGCCATTTTAAACTTGTAAATGTAATAGCAAATACTAATAAATAAAGTTAAACTCACAGTGTAGTGTGGACCCATGTCTTTAATCTCAGCATTCAGGAGGCAGAGGCAGGTGAATCTCTAAATTCAAGGTCAGCCTGGTCTAAAGAGAGAGTTCTAGGATGGCCAGGGCTATTCCTGTCTCAAAAAAAAAAAAAAAAAAAACCCACCACAAAAAAACAAACAAACAAACAAACAAAACACAAAAACAACAAAAACAAGATAATAGGAAGCTGGGTGTGGTAGTGCCTGTGGAATGAGGCAGGAGGACTACTGATAGTTAAAGGCCAACTAGGGCTCTACAATTAAGTTCTAGGCCAGCCAAGGATAGTGAGTCTCTTCTTTAAAAAAAAAAAAAAAAAAAAAAAAAAAAAAATCAAACAAACAACTATCTGTATCAGACAAAGTAAAAACTAAAAGTGGGACATCATTAGACCTGGAAAATCCATGTTCAAGTTCAATTAAGAGCTTTTCCATAGCAAATGGCTTTCAAGTAGAACAACATTTAGAAGCTGTAAGAATGTTACTCTAGTATTCTATGGACACAAACGCCTTAACAATAAAAACAGCACTGTCCCTTTTCAAGGATTCCTCATTTCTTCCATCAAAACCAAGTTTTCATATTCCCTTACCCTTGCTAATACTCCAGACTCTGCAACAGACTGTGCTTCCGGGACTGCCATGGGCTTGCTGGGCTCAGTTGCAAAGGGCTGCTCAGCTCCATTTTTATAGTGGTTTGATAAAGGTATCTTTGGCTCCAACCACTCAATTGTCGGTCCTGATGAAGTAAGAGAAAAGTCTTGCTGAGACTCACTCATAATCTGGGAAGTTCAGCAGATCTAGATGTCATTAAACAATTTTGTTTTGACCCTATGAAACTAAAGCACTCCAACCCTCACTGAAAGGAGACAGCTTGCTCGACCTCATTAGCATGAGCACCATGATTGGGTACTTCACAACAGCGCAACTTGAAATGAGACACTAGGTGAAAGCAGTCTACCCTGAACAGGGCTGATCTTGCTTCTTAGACAAGCCTGTGAATCATGGAGTGAGCTCCCAAACAAAGGATTAGCCAGTGGTATTGATTATGTCCCTCTAATAACCAAAATGTATATAATTAGACCTTAGTGGGAGTCACTTCAGGAACCTGACATGGTAAACCAACATAATTTGTTTAAACTAAAGATTGCACTTTTCCAAACTAATCAAAATAATTCATTGGCTCTAATTTAAATAACATACACACAAACACCTTTTATTTAAATCATGAACAGCCCAACATAACTTTTAAACTGAAAACCTTTTCTACTGAATAGAGTTGACCTAGTAAAAGTCAGTGTCACATTTAGAGACCTGTCACCTTCTCAGTTAATGAGTCAATGGTCTCTTGTTACCCTCAACTAGTTTAACAAAGTAGATTCTATGCCTAATCAATAATGGAAATGTTCCATTTGATTTCAGAGGCTGATCTGGGTTTCACAGAAGCTAGGTTATGGAGTACAAGAATAAGGAATGCTGCTCAGACTACTAAAACAGAAATTAAAAACAGTAAGGCATTTACTAAGGACAGACTTTAGAAGAAAAAGAAATGACAAATTACCCAATAGGCACTAGGGGCTTTAAGATTGGAGGAATGTCCTGGCTAAGGTCATGGGCCTATTTTAAAGAAATGAAAATGTTCTCCTTCTACCGTAAAATAACTATTTTTAGTATCACCATACAGATTTTTTTCTAAAAATAAGACACGTGAGCACTAATTAAAAGGTCCAGTTTAGTGGCTACTTGGCTAACTAGGAACTATAATAAGATTCATTAAATCAGTCATCTGGTCACAAGGTCCCTCCAAATCAACACATAGACAATTGAGTCTTTAGATAACATATATTCAATCTTTATGGTCTAGACACAGTACTACACATTTGTCATCCTAGTGCTTAAAAAGCACATGCAGCATGGGATGGAGAGACTGCTCAGGAGTTAAGAGCACTGGTTGCTGTTCCAGAGGTCCTGAGTTCAATTCCCAGCAAGTACATAGGGGCTCACAACCATCTAATAAGGGGATCTGATGCCCTCTTCTGGCCTGCAGGTATACATGCAGAGCACTCATACACAAAATATAAATAAATGAAACTAACTAAAAAAAAAAAAAAAAAAAAAAATCAAGGAAGCAGGAGTAGCTGAGGTCAGCCTGGAATACATAATGAGTTTACAGCCAGCTTAGGCTAGATAGCAATATCTTATCCATGAATGATGTAACAAAAATATGACCTCACTTTTTCATGTCATTGGAGAGTTTGAATGGAAAGATAACTGTTTGCCCAAGTTATATTTTCATTCTGACGTGATTTTAAAATAAATTCTTACATGCCCAATTTGGAAAGGATGGCAGCTATGGTGAGAGCCACTAATGACAATGGATTAATTCCTCCAACTATCTATAAATCTAGTCTACAAAAAGTCAAACATTCACTTTAAAACTTCAAAACTTTGGTGATTAATGCAAATTTACGCATACCTCTTTTCTTAGTCATGAAGAAAACATAAAAAGTAACACTGTATTAATTTAAACTATACAAAAGTTTCACAATTGTTTTAAAAGATATATTATTCAATGAAGTATTTATTTAGCATTTAATCTAGTAACCAGCACCAGAGCTACCTGATAGACTTTTAAATAGTACAGACTAAAAATAAGATGTTTTGTTTTCCTAACAAACTAACTAAAATTAATTCACATTTCTTACATCAGGGTAACTTATCTAATGTTCAACTTAGGGGAATAACTTGAAGAAATCAAAGCACTCACCTAAGCGTGTAATACCACCCCAAAATTCCCCTATCACAGGAATGTAACTTGGAAAGTATTCTTGACATTTAGTAAAAACACATGATATAACAGAATACAGTACAATACTAAAGAGCAAATGAGCAGTGGACAGAGTTGGGAGTCAGGACACGCCCCCAGTGATCCTACCTTGATTACCTAGATACAAGAATTGAGAGGAATGCCAATATTTTAACAGAAACTGAGCTCTCCATTTACTTTCTGCCATGTTAAGTTTGAGGTCTAGAAAGGTATATTCAAAGATGTTAAACATTAGACCTAAAATTATTCTGAATTCCCAAACAGGACACATTCAGGAAGTTTGAATCAATGTATCACACTAGTGTGCTAAATAAAAACTGATTTTTTTTTCATTTTCAAAAAATGTTTTTCTAGCATTAGAATGATAATAAATACATTCTTTTCCATGTTTTGGCCAATGTTACTCCTACCTTTAATCTATGACTTACCTGAGGGCAGTGAGCCCTTCTGATGTGATGCATGCTGCAACTGGAGAATGTGAAAGCAGTCGTTTAAGCAGTTCATAGTTGCCATGGAAGTAGCTTTGAGCATCAAGAGGTCCTGGTCCAAAGAACTAAGAAGGCCAGAAGCAGGAAGGCATTCGATCCGTCTAATCAGGTCTCGCTGTTGTCCTTCAGCATGAGACATCATCTAAGGAGACAAGAGTCCTGTGGGTCTCACTCACATGACACAACAATGTCTGCTAGTCATTTAAATCATTCTATTCATTCTTTGAAGCATTTTCCAAGTATAGTAGTAAGACTTGGAAATTTATCTGAAATTTGCTAGGCTATTTTCTTGCTTAAAAAAAAGTATTTTGTGTTAATGGGTGTTTTTTGTCTGCATATATAAGTGTACCACATGTATACAATGCTCCCAGAGCATCAGATCCTTTGGAACTGGAGTTAAAGACAAGTGTGTGCCACCATGTGGGTGCTAGAGACTGAACGAGGTTCTCTGGAAGAGCAGCCAGTGCTCCTAATCACTCTAGTACCTGTTGGGCTATTTTCAATTAAATACTTACAGTATTTAACAGTGTTTATCAACGGAAAATTGTGACCTCTAATGACTACACTTTTTCTCTGGAGGCAATAAAGTACAAAATGCTTGCCACTTTCTGTTAGCAATATTAATCTAGCCAAGTTACCAGAAAGAACATTGCCAACAGCAGTACTGGATTTTTAGTTCCACAGCTAAAATTAATTTCCAGTCTGTGCCCTCAATCACTTTCCTCTTACACTTTAGTCAGGCTTGATGTGAACAACCGTGAAAGCATGATGCTCACCTGCCTCATCCCGCACCTAACTTCCTAGTCAGCGTATCTTGATTTGTTGTTGCTGTTAGGTACATACTAGATTATAAGTTTTCCAGGAAAAAAAGACTTAATTAAGACATTCTTTGACTAGGAGGCTATCCAACACCACCATAACCCCCTTCATGTAGCCTTAGCTGTTCTGAACCTACTATGTAGACCAGGCAGGCCTTAAACTCACAGAGATCCACCTGCCTTTGCCTCCTGAGTCCTGGAATCAAATGTGTGTGCCACCACACTAAGTTCCTATCCACTTCTAACAGAGCTAATGGATAACAATTAATGAACAATGTAGTATTTGGAGAGGAAAACAATTGGTGATACTTTCAAGTGTAAGCAGAAGGCTCTCAGATTGCTTATCCTTGGAAGCTGTTAATTCACACACAAACTCTGTAATGGAAGATCTAGTGTTTAGAAGTTTTACTCTCTCCCCCTCTGTATGTGTGTGAGCGTGCACGTGTGTGTGCATAAGTGTGTGAGTGCCCACTCAAGGGCCAGAGGTTATAAAGTCAGGTGTTCCCTCCACTGCTCTCCACCTCATACCCTGGAGGCAGGGTCTCTCTCTGAACCTGGAGCTCCCTGTTTTTGTTCTCTGGCTTGACTACTGGCCAGAAAGTGATGCTTCTGTCTCTGCCTGTAGGTGTCAGGGCAGCATGCACAAAGAGCTGGCTCTTTGTGTGAGTTCAAGTGATCCAAACTCAGGTCCCCATGCTTGTAGAGCAGTGCTTTACCCTCTGAGCCACCTCCCCAGCCCATGTCCCGAATTGATACTCATAGTTTATCAGGGAGTTGGTGAAAGTAGAATGCACAATGGCCCTATGAAGCAAATCAAGTGTATTACATGAAACAGTTCCTAAAAACCCGAGCCAATGTCAAAGGTTTAAACACCTTTCCCAGAACAAAACAAACCACAAAAACTTCAAAATGAGAAACTGGACATAAAGATGTCTATACAAGCACATCTGTAAATGTAAAAGTACAGATGATCCAGGTACCTATGTTTTAAATGATCTATTAATTTGTTGAAATAGGTTTTCCTTTGTAATAGGTGACTGCCTGGAATTCACTATGTAGTAACCCAGGTTGTCCCCCAAACTTGTTGCAATTAGGGCTGAAGAGATGGCTCAGTAGGTAAAGGCACTGGCCAGCAAGGCTGGCAACCAGAGTTTGATGCCTAGAACACACATAAAAGTAGAAGTCAAAAATCTACTCATGAAAGTTGTCCTCTGACCTCCACATGTGCAGTGACATAGGAACATGCACACAAATATATAGTAGTTTTTTTTAAAGAAAGAAAGACAGGTTGGCAAGACATCTCAGCTATTAAGAGCACTTGCTGAACTTTCAGAAACCTGGGCTCAATTCCCAGTGCCCACAGTTACATGTAACTCCAGGGAATCCAATACCCTTTTTTGGCCTCTTCCAATACTGCATTTATGTGGTTCACATACATACAAACAGGTACACACATCCACATAAATAAGAATAAAATGGTAAAACTTTCACTTAAAAACAAACAAAAAAGTTTGTGATAATTTCCTGTCTCAGCTTCCCAAGCACAGAGATTACAGACATGAGCAACCATGCCTCGCTATGTCTTTGTATATAAACTTGGGAACTAATGGGGTTAAGTAGCAGAGAGTTTGCCTAACACAAGTCCTGTGTTCAGTTCCTAGTACTACAATACATACAAACACAAACACACATGTAGTGAGAGACTAATTCCCAAATAATCCAAGTGTATGAAGTACAACCACTTTGGAATACAGTTTTGTGCTATATAACAGAGCTAAGCAAATAAAACCAGGATTTAACAATTATTCTCAAGTACACAACAGAGGCATAGAGTTGTTCACCAACTCAAACATCCATCAATACTATATTATAGCAATGAAGAGACAGAAACAGCTAACATAGCAGATAGCAAATACCCACTGTGAACACAAAGACTGCTCCAAAGGAGTACTTACTGCGTAATTCTAGTTTGGGAAGTTTCTGGTGTTTGATCAGCGAGGAGAGGAACAGTGGTAGACATGAAAGAGCCTGCTAGTGGACTGATAATCCATTGTGTTGTTTGCTTTTGAGACAGAGAGTAGAGGCCACTGGAGTCAGTAACCCTGCCTCTGTGATGAGAAATGAAGGTTGAGGAAGTAGTTTCCAAGGGGGATGTGGGTCTGAAAGATTCTTCCAGTTCCCCTCCAGCACAGAAGTTAGTGTTCAGACTTCTCTCACTCCAGAGACACTAAGGGGAGAAGTATAGCTTGGACATTCACTTTATGCCTGGGTAAACTGACCAGAAGCCTCCAACATGACTTTACACCCAAAGGAGGCTCAGTAATAAGGGGCTGCCACTGCCCTGACACTGCCCTTGCCCACATGTTCCCTGGATCTGTGTGACAAGCATCTGCCCACCCTGGGCAGCCTATAACTTGACAAAGCTTGGTGGGAGAGAATACTCTTTAAGAGTCCAACATTTTCTATGCCTCATGTGCTTAATAAAAGTGTTAGGAGAGAATACAGTCTGGATGAGTCAACATTTCCTTACTAGTCCAATGGAAAAAAATGTAGGGTGTGCCCTTCATATGCTCCAACTTGTTTGCTGGAAGCCAAGAGAGATCAACAGGCTTTCATCTGTGACTCATTACACCCTGCTAGTCTTGGCACCTAGGAATAGCAGATGCTCTTCAAGTACCTCAGCTAGGAAGATTTGACAATTCTTTACAAACTATCTTTTCTTCCGTTTAAAAATTTTAATATCTATTCTTTATTTTGAGACAAAGTCTTACTATGTAGCTCTGGCTGTGCTAGAACTTACTATATAGACTAGGCTGGACTTAAACTTACAAAATCTACCTGTCTTAGCTTCCTAAATGCTGGCATTAAAGGTAATTTTAACCACAAAAGACCTTCCTGTTGACTTTTCTTAAAAAAATTAAACTTACTTAATTTTATGTGCCAGTGTTTTGCCTGCACATATATATGTGTAACACATGCATGCTTGATGCCTGAGAACATCAGAAGATGGCGCTGAACTCCCCGAAACTGAAGTTACAGATGGCTGTGAGCCACTGTGTAGATGCTAGGAATTGAAGCCTTGTCTTCTGCAATAGCAACAAGTGCTCCTAACTACTCAGGCCACCACTGTCTTTTAAAAAATTAAAGTTTATTACTTTCTAAGCTTATTCTATATCATTGTTATCCCTTTCCCCCCCTATGGTTGTGTGTAGTAAGATATCCACCCCAGCCACCCCTGTTGTACTGACCATGCCCACTGGGGTTTGGGGATAGGGATGGGTGTGACCCGTGAAGTCTAGGTCTGGGTCCAGATCTGGATGCTCTCACTTCTGGGTCAGAGACAAGAGAGGATCAGAGGACATCCTTGGAGTAGGAAGCCATGGAGGTCGTCTGTTTCTTGTGTAAGTGAATTCTCCCCAATAAACCTTAATCAGCCTGTATTGTGTCCCAGAATCTTACTGCCCACTTTAGTTGTGTGTTGCGTGTTATCCTTGAGCAGAGTTTCTTTAGTGCATTTCTCTATCTGGTTTATCTTATGTTGTTGTTGTTGTTGTTGTTACCAGTTTCTCTTTTTCAGCATGCTGGAAACTAAGCTCAGCACCTTTAGTGAGTGCTTTGCCATCCAGCTACACCTTTGAACTAACTGAGACACTAAACTTTAAGCCAACCATGGCCTAGTCCTGACTGACCTTCAGTGGAAGCTTCACCATAGAGAACAAGAGAGACAAAAGACCAGGGTCAGCAACCTAAATCCAAGTAGGCATATCTAAGCCCCACTGCCGGACATTAACCTCTATAGCAACTGCAAAGAATACAAGTGCTGTAGACACTGCAACTCTATACACAACACACTGTCAAGAGAGAGCCTCTTACAAAAGTCTTCATGACAGCTGAAGAGACTACTATCCTAACAGGCAATTCCAACCATAGAACACAAGAACACAGCAACGTCATATCACCTGAAGTCCGTAACTCTCCAGTACAAGATTCCAAAAACACAAAGAATTCAAAAGAATGAGTTTTTAAAAGACGAATGAAGCTGGGCCAGAGGTAGCACACATCCTTAGTCCCAGCACTCAAGGCAGAGGCAGGCAGATCCCTGTGTTTGAGGATAGCCTGGTTCTACAGAGAGAATTCCAGAACACTCAGGGTTACACACAGAAACCCTGTCTCAAGGAGAAAAAACAAACAAACAAAAAGTGAATTCCAAGAGAACGCAAGTTAAGAAGTGAGTCAGTCAGGGAAGACAACACAGGCTATGAAGAGAAGTTCAGTGAAGGCGTAGAGATTCTGAAAAGGAACCAAACAGAAATCTCAAAAATGAAAAGCTCAGCTGAACTCGCACCAATAAACTATATCAAGTGAAACAATACCAAGGTTAATGAATAATCACACTGGGATTTGTGGTGGCCCCCAAAGACCGTGGCTCTATTAGGAGGTGTGGCCTTGTTGGAGGAGTGTGCCACTGTGGGGGTGGGTTTGATATCTCATATATGCTCAAGCTACTCCCAGTGACTCAGTTCATTTCCTGTTCCTTTGGAACAAGAAGTAGAATTCTCCAGCACCATGTCTACCTGCTTGCCACCAGGCTCCTGAAAGCCACATATGAGATTTCCTGTAAAATCATGCTAATATTGGAGCAATAAAAAAGTGTTTCCTGAGGCATGGCTGAGAATTGCACATTATTCTTAGAGGTCATGTTACAACTTGTTAATATCCACTACTTAGAACATGGTTTTCAAAATGAATTTTGGTATTTGCTATTGTAAGAGTGAAGTCAGAGGTGGGCATGGTGGCTCACACCTTTAATCCCAGCACTCAGGAGACAGATGGATCTCTGAGTTTGAGACCAGCCTAATCTACAGTAAAACCCTGTCTCAAAAAAAAAAAAAAAAAAAAAAAAAAAAAGACTGAAATTAGGAAAAACTTGGGAGCAACCAAAACTCAAACAAACAATGAAAAGTGAATTCTTTAACATGTATTTATTTGTTTGTTTTTGCCATAGGTCTATGTGGCCCAGGCCTGACCCTGCCTCTGTCTTGATGTGCCATCACATCCAGCTTTCAGTCCCTTATTGATGGCAGCTGACTTAACAGTGTCTGACTTGCAGGCTCATACATTATTAGTTTATGAAGAAGGTAATGGTATTTCAATAGTCAGCAATCTTAACTTTAAGGTTTTTATAACTTTTGCCATATAAATTTTAATACCTAAAATCTAAAAGTTGAATTTTTGGATTATGTATGTATGAATTTTGACTATATGTATAAACTGATGTCCTATACCAAGTAGAGATGTCCTATACCAAGGTTTTAAAAATATTTTTTAACATTTATTTTTGTGTTTGAGGATGTATGTCTGAGCATAATATGCCATGCATATGTGTGGCAAACAGAAAACAACTTGTGGGAATCGGTTCTCTCCGCCACCATATGGGTTCTGGGGACCAAGCTCTGGTCATCAGGCTTCAGGGGCAAGCACCTTACATTCTGAGCTATCTTTCAGAACTTCGAATAGTTCCTTGGTGGTGGTGGGGGGGGGGATCATTTGTTGTTTGTTTGATTGATTGGTTGATTGATGGATGGATGGATTGATTGATTCTTTGAGGCAAGGTTTCACTGTGTAGTCCTGGCTTACCTGGAGCTCACTATGTAGACCAGGGTGAGCTCAAACTCACCTCTGCCTCCTCCTCCCAAGTGCTGGGACTAAAGACATTCACCTCACACCTGGCCTAAACTTTAAACTTAAAACCTCATTTGTAGAGCAAACTCTCAAGAAGGACGATTTAAAAAAAAGAAAAGGATTTGCATACTGCCTTTTATGAAAAAGATGTTTATGACATAAGCTGTTTGTGTAACAGGGCTACCAAGCGGTTGTCTTGTGAGTCTCCGAGCACATTACTCCACCTCCCGAAACTCCCATTTTTCTATCCACAAACAGTACAATACATCTTGACAGAGGGCACTTCTCCCCAGCCTTCTGCTTTGAAACAATTGAGTGATTTACAGTATTATTTCCACAACCCACTTCTTAGTCACCTAGAAGCTCTACCAATTTTAACTTAGCAAGCAATGTCTGAAATAGTTACAAACTGGCAAACTGCACCCTTTAGTAACTAGAGTTAAAAAGAGAAAACTCACCAGAGAAGGCAATATCTGAATGAACTCTACTTTTGTGTGTGACACATTTTTGTGTGTCTGTCTGGTCTTTGTGTTTTGGTTCTTCAGCTTGAGCACAGGGCCACGTGCACATACTGGCCATGTTCTCTACTACTGAACTCAAACCTTCAGCCCTATATATAGAACACGGTTGTTGTTGTTGTTGAAGAAGAGTCTCTAGATAGGCTATATATCCTTCCCAGTAGGCTTAAAGGCTCTCTGATTTTTTGAGACAGGATCTCACACTGTAGCCCATGCTGGCAATTCTCCTACCTTGGCATTCCAAGTGCTGAGATTACATGCCCAGCCTAACGACTCTTTTGATCATAAATTTTACATCAAAGGAACCTGTAGTTTTACTTGAAAACTAAGACAGATTTTTGACAGGAAAACTAAAATAGATGTAGATTCTTAGAAAATGCCGGCATCCAAGCACACAGTTGTGAGATATAAAGAATTCAGTCTATCTGCAATCTTACTATCTCTATCACTTAACAGAATGGATAAGAAACACCGAAGGCCCACAGACACACACAGATTACAACACAGTGAGAAAACCAGGCACACTGCTGTTGTGTACCTTACCTGCCTTCAACTCATACTTACTTCTCTGACTTCCACAAGATGGTCTGGATGCAAGTGAGCTCTTTTGTTCACCGACTGCAGTTTGGAATGTCCAACATTAAAAAATGAAATGGCAGTCTGACTTGGTCTTCTCTGGGATATGGGAGAGTTACCACTAGATGCAAGGGAGAAGCTCCGTGACTTCAGGGGAGGATTGTTCTGTCAGAAAAAGAAAATCAGTACACTTTTGCTTTTTAAATTTTTGGCTCTCTTGCCACCAAATTAACATATACCTCAGGCTTTATACATGTAGCATTTTGAGACTATATTAACATCAGATTTGACTTAGGCAAATTTCTGAAGACTTTATGCTATTCAAAGTTTAGAAAATTGAAATTTCCAGTTTGACATTCTCAAAGAATTTTTATATATTTTTTGAAAGTCTATTAGAAGAACAAGATTTTCCTGATTTCTTATTTTAATCATTGCAGCACGTGTGTGTGTGTGTGTATGTGTGTGTGTGTATAGGAATATACGCATTCTATATGCAGTGATATATCTCCTAAAGAAACAATCAGGCATCCTTTAGAACAGTCTGGCACTTCCTGCTCACTCTCACTGACTAGGAGTTTGCACCATGAATAAACTATTACATTGTATTTCCTGGAGACTAGGCATCAGACCTAAATACAATGTTTTGTTTGATTTATTTTGAAGAAGGGTCTATATAGTCCAGGCTAGCTTCAAACTCACAATCCTGCCTTAGCTTCCAAAATGTTATTATTGAAGGTCCACCATTCCCAGACCTAAATTATAATTCAAAAAAAATTAACTGGTGGGAAAAATAGAAAGTGAAAAATTGTGAAAACATGAGGTTATTCTCAGATACAAAATCCTTAGAATGAGCTACTCATGTATCACTTTTTAGACATCCCCAGATGTCCACAATGTAGACCCTCCTTCACATTAAAACAAAACAAAACTAAAAACAATCCAGAGAGCCAGGCATAGTAAACAAACAAACAATGCCTGGCACACTTCCAAAAAAGAGACATAATTAATGGGCTAGCATGAAGATTCAGTGAATAAAGGCATTTAATACAAAGCCTGACAACCTGAGTTCAATCCCTGGAGCCCGTACAAAAGGAGGAAACTTACTCGTAAGTGTCCTTTGCCCTCAACAAACATGGGGGGGGATGCAAATGTACCCACACGTACATACATAAGATCAAGACTTCTTAAAAAGATACACAAATTCTCAGCTAATGAAAGGTATTCAACATGGTCCATCATTTGAGAAATGAAATGAAAATCATGAGTTCACTGGAGAATATAGAAAAACCAGGGGCCAGCAGAACAACTCAGTTGTTAAAGAACTTAAGCATAAGCATAAAGAGTTGATTTCCGATGGCCAGTACCCACAGAAAAAGCTTGGTGTGACACTGAGTGTCTCAAGTCCCAGCACTGGGGACACAGGGACAGGTGGACCCCTAGGGTTCAATGGCCTGCCAGTCTATCCTAGTTAGTGAGTTAGGCTCAGTTCAAGACCCTGCCTAAAAACTATGGAAGGAAGCGACTCATGTTGACCTATAGTCTCCATGTGCGCGCACACACACACATAAACATAAACCACCACACAACCCAGGAATTCCGTAACTACATTCATACTTCCAAGAAATGAAATGAGGGGCTGGGAAGATAGCTCAGTTGGTAAAGTGCTTGCCACAAAACATAAGGACCTGAATTTGCCTCTCAGCTGACTCGTTAAATAAGCAGGCATCGTGGTAAGTCTGTAATCCAGAGTTATGTCCTGTGGATCACTGCCCTTTTGTCTAGGCAAAGCAGTGAGCTCCAGGCTCAGTGAGAGGCCAGTTTCAAAACACAAGATGGAGAGTAACTGGAGAAGACACTGACATTGAACTCTGGCTTCTGCCTGTACGTGCACGCACGCAAGTACTCATGCATGCACACACACCTGAAATAATATATTTGTCCAAAAACTTAAACCCAAACGTCTATAGTTCACATCGTTCATAGCATCTATAAAATAAAAATAATAAACCAGCTTGGGGAGCTCACACATGTAACCCTATCACTTAGAAGGCTGAGGCAAGAAGGGCAGGCAAATGGCTGTTGGTTAAGCATTTGCTGCTGAGTATGAGGGCTAGAATTCAGATCCCCTGAACCAGCATAAAATGGCTAGGCTTGGTGGGCCATTCTGTCACCTAAATGCCAAGGAAGAAAAGACAGATGGGTCACTGGAACTTACTGGCTAAGTAGCCTACCCAGATTAGCAGCTGTTTCTGGCCAAAAAAGGAAAAAGTACAGAGGGATTGAGAAAGATAAACATGTAAAGATACTACATAAACACTCTTGAGTGTGCATGTGCATGAGTAAGTATGCGTGCGCGTGCGGACACACAGAGAGAGAGGGAGGGAGAGAGGGAGGGAGGGAGGAAGGCTGAAAGAGGAAGAGTGCTGGGGATATGGCTTAACTGGTGCTTGTCTAACAAGCACAAAGCCCTGGATTTGACTCCTAGTATCATATAAAGCCAAAGTGCTTATATCCTAGCACTTGGAAGGTAGAGGAAGGAAAGTGGAAATTCAAGGTCACTCTCATCTACAATGCAAGGGCAGCATGAGATACATGAGAATTTGTCTCAAAAAAAAAGGGGTGGGAGTTGAGGAGGGAGAATTATCAAGAGTTTAAGGTTTAAGGCCACCACGGGGTATGTGGCAAATTCTAGGCCAGTCTGAATTAGAGTGAGATTCTGTCTCAAAAAAATAAATTGAAAGAAAGTGTAAGAAAGTAAGAGAATCACTAGCCTGACACAGTGGCCTATACCTATAACCCAGAACTTGGAAAGCTCAGGCAAATGGGTAGTTTTCAAGGCCAGCCACCAGGGGCACAGTAGACAGACGCTGTCAGAGAGGGGGCTGAGGGAGGGCTGGTTTTTATAAGTGTAGGTGAGCCTTGAAGTGGAAAAGCTGACACAATAAACCACGCTTGTAAGTCCAAGCAAACAAGAGTGCAGATTAAGTGTTCACCCAGGGTTTGGGAAGGAGGGAGAGAAGTGGCTGTTGACTCTGTGTAGTCACATGGCTGCCAAGGTCCCACAATCTTATAGCTACCCTAACACCATGAGTCCATGGTATTAGTATAGTTATACTCTTTAAAGGAGCAAACTTACAGTATACAAATGTAATCTCAATGTACTTTTTAAACATTCATTTATTTTGTACATATATGTGTGTGAACATCATCAGAGCACACAGGTGAAAATGAGGTTTTCTTTCAACCCTGTGCGTCTCAGGGATCAGACTGAGGTTGTCAAACCTGGTGGCAATCACTCCATCTCACTGGCTCTGGGTTCTAAATGTAAAAGTATAGCTGGGTGTTGGTGGCGCACGCCTTTAATTCCAGCACTCGGGAGGCAGAGGCAGGTGGATCTTTGAGTTCAAGTTCTCTTACAGAGAAAGTTCCAGAATAGCCAAGCTACACAGAGAAGCCGTGCCTGAGAAAAAAGTATAAAGCACACATCTCCCCACTCTGTGTACTGGTACTGTGTGCAAACTCACATACCTTCCCGATGGCTTCCGTGTGGTGCTGCGTGCATATCTGGAGTCTGCTCACCCAGTGCTGCCGCTCTTTAGCATCTGTGGCTGATAAAAGAGCAGACACGTTATCTACTTTTGTATTTATCTGAGGAACACAATTAATTGTTCACATCACAAAAGATGGATGAGTAATGAGCAAATGCTAGTTTTACTTTCCTTACAGAAAATGTCACTGACTGGAGGGAGAGCAGGAAAGACTGAAGTGTTGCCCTCGATAGGAGTGGAAATTGCCTAATGTAGCCAGGTGAGGACATGAGGCAACAGGTCTTAAGTTCCTAATGGTGGGATGCCCCTGTTTGTTTATTTGTATATGTATTCTAATTTTCCAAGATAGGTTTTTACGTGTAGCCCTGGCTGGTCTGAAACTCACTCTGTAGACCAGGCTGGCCTCAAACTCAAGTGATCCACCTGCTTCTGCCTCCTGAGAGCTGGGATTAAAGGCGTGCCCAGTGGAAATGTCCCTATTTAAATAAACTAACCCGAGTTAGAATCTGGAGAGATGGCCCAGTGGGTAAAAACGCTGACTCTTCTTCTAGAGAACTCAGGGTTAGTCCCCAGCACCCACATGGCAGCTCCCAACTGTCTGTAACTCCAGTTCCAGGGCTACCCTCACACAGACACCCAGGCGGGCAAAATAACATTAAATGAACATTAAATAAAAATAAATTAAAAAAAAAAAGAGAGAATCTGAAGTAATGAGTTAGGATTGCTACTATACGTGTATTTCTTAAATAAAACCACACATTTCTTCATAATTTAATTTAGGTGTAAGCAAGGTGTGGCAGCACAAGCTTGTAATTTTAGTATTCAGAGGTAGAGGGCAAGCGTTTGAAGCCAGCCTGGGCTGAACAGCAAGACCCTGTCTGTCTAAAGAAGCCCAAACGATGGTCACATTACCCTGAACACTCCTGAAAAACCAATATGAACACCCAACACCAAGAACAAACCCAGGAAGTTATACTGTGTCTTAATGAATATTGACTTTCTTGTTTGTTTTTTGTTTTCAAATCAGGGTTTCTCTAGACTGTCATGGTCTGTAGACCATGGACTGTAGGCCTCAAACTCAAGAGATCTACCTGCCACTGGTTCCCGAGTGCCCCACTACCCAACAAATATAGACATTTTAACAAACCCCAATAGTTTACTTACTAAAAGATGTCAAGAGGACAATGGGCAAAAAAGAAAAATTCCCTGTAGCAGACATAAAACTATTATTTAAGCAAGTCTAACTTTTACAGTTCTCAGTAATCAGGGTTTCATCTACAAAATAAATCCTTTCTAGAAGGCCCAACACTAAACAGACTCATGCATTGACCAACTTGAAAACAATTATTAAAACAGATTTTATAAACCCTCAGAGCAATTCTGAGATGCGGTGTGGCATGTCAGCAGTGACAGCAGCTCCTGTCCGCAAGCGCATAGGACAGGAGCTAGGGAGGGGACCCCAGGGCTAGGTCGGCCTACCTCTGAGTTTATACTGCTCCCCGCTGGCAGCATTCACTGTGAAGGTGTGGGAGTCTTCATCACTGGGGGAGATCACAGCACCCGCAAGCTGTAAAGTACCTCTGGGTTTCTGATTTCTAGACTGTTCATTCACAAAGTACTCCAACAGCCCAGCTTCATTGTTTAAAACAAAAAACCTGCAATGATTTTAACAAAGTTGTGATTTTTAAACATTTGCTTAGTCAAACTAAAGCAATGCAAGCTTCAATAGTTTAAAAACTATACTGAATTTTTACCGGAAAATAAAACAAAACAAAAAAACTAAAACTAAAGCATGCCAAGAAGTAAACCCAGAAACACTACACCAAATTTCCTACGACAAAGACTACTTCAAAACTGAATATATTTAACACAAGGCATGAGTCACTGAGCCAAGGGAGCAGCATTTATTTTAAATAATTCCTGTGGCCCTGGAGATCAAACCAGGGCCTTCAAAACCCTGGGCAGACACTACACCCAAGCTCCATCTTTAGTCCCAGAAGAAGTACTTCTCAGGGAAGAACACAGTAAGTAGAGAAGGAGACAAGGCACACACTCCTTTAGAGAAAACTCTCCTGATAAACTGCAGGCAAGGGCAGGAAGAACTCTAGGCTGGTGTGATGCCTGGTAAAAATGAATACTAGAGTTGCAAAGATGATCCTGTGGTTAAGAGCACTTACTGCTCTTACAGATGACCTGAGTTTGGTTCTCAACATCCATTCTGGGTGGCTTAAAGTCACCTAAAACTCCAGCTTCAGTGGGATCCAATGCCCTTTTTTGTCTCTACAGTTACCTACACACACACATGCATGCATGCACACACACAAAAGAATAATAAATCTTAAAAAAAATACCCTCAGTAATCAATATGAATTTTTAAAGAAATAAATATGACCCAAGACCAGTGACATATACTGAGAATGTCAGCACAGAAAGATGTTGTGACTCTACTTTAGATAGGTCACAAGTGAAGGTCACTTACCTTGTTTAAAAATGAAAAGACTGCAATTGGAGTCACAGAAACATAGGGAACTTGAGACTAAATAATGAAATACTGATATACCTTGGCGAAGAATTTGATGGAACACTGGTAGACTTTGGAAAATAATTTGATGTTCTGATTCAGTTATAGACTAGATAGTTTAGGATACATCAGATCCCAATTTAAGTAGCACAATAGTGCTTTCCTTTAAAAGTTTGAATTTCTCAAATTTATGTTTGGGTTTCCAAAGGGCTTTTTTTTTTTTTTTTCATTCAAAAGCCAACTTCATAACAGAAGCCAGTGTTCAGTGTGACCCAGTCAAGAGTCAGGAAGATTGCTCAATGTCTCAAATGACACCGAAATGACCATATCAAAGAGAGAAGGGAATTAGCCTTCTGTTCAGGAAAAGAAGGAGATGGGGGAAAAGGGAGGTGATGGGGGAAACAAGATTAAATTTTCCCAAAAGACAGGAAAAACTCTTGGCTCTTCTTCCAAGGTTTGCTGTTGCTGTTGGGTTTCTCTACATAGCCCTAGCTATCCTAACATAGGCCAGGATGGCCTTGACAAACACATCTGCCTAGGATTAAAGGCGGGTGCTACCACACCCAGATCTCTCTTAAGCTTTTAATGTACTTTGGAGTTTGGAAAAGTCTGTTCACATAGTTTGATAAAAATTTCATCTTAATTAATTTTGCAGCTTTTCTTTTCTTTGGTTTTGTTGCTGTTTTTCTGTGGCAAGATCTCACATAGCTTTAGGCTAGCCCCAAACTTTCTATGTAGTCAAAGATGACTTCAAATTCTGATTTCCTTTCCTCTATGTCCAGAGTGCTGGGCTTGCCAGGTATACCACACAGCTCAGTGTGGCTATGAGACCAAACTCAGAGCCCTACACATGCTAGGCAAACACTCTACCAACCACACTCACATTTTTGTAATTCTTTGGTTTGGCTTTGTTTTGTTTTTCAAGACAGAGATTCCTGGCTGTCCTGGAACTCAATTTGCAGACCAGACTGGCCTCAGACTCATTTCACCTGCCTCTGCACTCCCAGTGCTGGAATTAAAGGTGAGTGCCACCACTGCCCGGCTATATTTTTGTAATTTTAAAACTCACATTTCATTATAGTTGGAGTTAGAGGTCTCTTCATGTGTTTGTGGAACATTGTTAACTGCCACTCACATTACTGCTCATTTTTAAAAGTTATTTTCTGAAGACTTCAAGGGATTATTTGAATTAACATAAAGCAGCCAGGGATGAGATCTTAGATTTCTAAACCTGTCTTTACTAAAATGTCTATACAAATCTTCCATGCAAAAAAAAAAAAAGAGAGAACCCAAGCCCAGAATGGCAATGCTCAGCAGGAGGAAACCATGAGCTCCAGACCAGCAGGACCACATAGAGAATCCTAAGACATTCTGGGTTACAAAGTGAAATCTTGTTTTTTAAAACAAAAATAACAACAAAAACAAACCAACCAAACACAGGAACTGTTCTGTTAGCAATAAAATAAATAATTTATTGCATAAAAACCAAACCCTCTAAAGTTGTATGCTTTAGATGAGTGAACCACACTGTAAATGAATCCCTTCTCAATAAAGATGCTAACATGCAGAATGGGGAGCTCAGAGACAGCGAAGAGCACCTGCTGCTCTCAAAGGACCTAAGTTTGGTTCCTAGCACCCATATGGTGGCTCCTATTGCCAATAACCACAGTTCCAGGGCACCTGATGCCTTCTTCCGGTCTTCATGGGCTCCTGTGTGCAGTGTAAAGTCACAGGCTCATACTTTGGTCATCTGAAGATAAATGGCCCCCGTAGACTCATGTTTGACCCACTATTAGGAGGTGTGGCCTTACTGGAAGAAGTGTGTCATTGTAGGGGTGGGCCCAGGGTGGGACACAAGTCTTCATTCTGATGCCTGCAGATCAAGATATAGAACTCTCAGCTACCTCTCCAGCACCATGTCTGCCTGCAGGCTGCCTTGCTTCCTGCCATGATAATGGACTAAGTCAGACTCAATTAAATGTTTTCCTTTATATAGCTGCCATGGCATCTTTTCACAGCAACAGAAACCCAAACTCACACGCAAATAAATAAACAAATAAATAATACTTTCAAAAAGAATAATGTTTCTTGAGAAATTAAAGGACAATCACTACTGGTCCAAGCAAGAATAATACTATATTTCAAAATGGAAAAGAAAAATGACTAGTCTGTTCTCTTAAAAATAGCCAAAGACAATTTAAAATATAACATCATTCAGGGCCAGGAAGATGGCTCAGTGAGTAAGGGCAAAGCCTAACCACTTGAGTTCCTAGAGCCTACATGGTAGAAGAGAGCCAACACCAGCATGCTGCACTCTAGCCCACAGGTGTGTCGACACACATGCACACACAGAACACAACACTAACATTATTTGGAATCTTATTTGTTATGACCATATATTACTTATTCCAAAGGTGTTATTATAGATACACAACATAGGAGGAACTCATCCAGATATCAGAAGAACAGAGAAGTGCCTGGCAAAAGGAGGTAACAAGTCAGTAACTGATTATCTTCCCAACCCCAACATGACAGGAGGATCTAACAGAGCACTCTGGGCTGTTCTCAAGAAAGATGACAGGACAGATTAGCCGGGACTGCTGGTCAGTCAGCCTGCAATCCAGCTAGGGGGACACTGAGGCAGGATTCTAACTAAGCCCAAAGACAGTCTAGGCAACTCACTGAGATTCCTGGAGCCAGGCTCAGTGGAGGGGTGCTTCTTTAGCACACGAAGGCCCCTGGTTCAACCCCAGTATTGACAGAAAAAGAAGTGTGTGGATTATAGAGGTGACCCACGTAGCTTTCCTTGGGGCACTAGACTCTTATATTTTTGGTTGTGAGCCTAGCCTTTAATAGCTGAGCCATCTCTCCAGCCCGGCACTAGACTCTTGATGAAAATATTTTTAGTAACTCAGACTAAACAATAAACTAGGAAGATATGAATAACTGCTGAGTATATTGGAAAATTTAACATTCAACACAATCCTTCACAGTAGAAAACTCACCTTTTTTTTTCTTTTTTTCTTTTTTTTTTTTTTTTTTTTTTGCCAATTTTAGTGTTATTATTTAAAGAATGGTTAAGGGCTAAGAAGATGTTTCCATGGGTAAGGGCATGTGCTTGCAAGCATGAGGACCTGAGTCCAAACCACCAGCAACCACATAAAAAGTCTAACACACCTCTTGGGCCTTTTGCTGGTCAGAGTAAAAGTGTACAACCAGGCACAAGGGACATCTGTAGTTCCAGCTGCTCCAGATGCTAAGGCTCAAGAGCTTAGACTCAGCCTGAGCCACATAAAAAAGCTCATCTATTTTATTTTATTTTGATCTTTTGAGATAGGGTCTGTTTATATGGCCTGGCTGTCTGTCCTGGAACTCGCTGTGTAGTAGACCAAGCTGGCCTCTAATTCACAGAAATCTGCTTGCCTCTGCCTCCCGAATGCTGGAATTAAAGTTGTGTGTCCAGTTGTTGCTCATTTCTTTTAAAAAACCACACACTGACCTGTATCATCTATCAGTTCTACTTCCTGACATAGACACAAAGAGTTCTACTTCCTGACATAGACACAAAGATGTAGACTTGAAAACGTTCACAGCAGCATTATTTTCAATGGCCAAAGGTAGAAACAACTCAAATGCCCATAATAGATGAATAAATAAACAAAGGTTTTATATACACATACTGGAATATTGCTAGTCTTTAAATAGTAGTGTGAACCAAAGAAATGGCTGACTGGGTGAAGGCACTTCTGCCAGTATAATGCCCTAAATTAAATCCCAGGACCTGATGATGGAAGGAGAGAACTGATTAATTCAGGGTCTCTTCTTTTTTTAAAATTGATTTGTAAACCAGCTTTCAATCTTTTTTTTTTTTTTTTTTTTAAAGATTTATTTATTTATTTTGTGCACAGTGTTCTGCAGGACAGGAGAGGGCACCAGATCTCATTACAGATGATTTTGAGCCACCATGTGGTTGCTGGGAATTAAACTCAGGACCTCTGGAAAAGCAGCCAGAGCTCTTAATCTCTGAGCCATCTCTCCAGCCTGTAAGGTCTCTCCTCTTACTACCATACACATGGTTTGGAACACGCTCGCTTGTGTGCGCACACATGTGCACATGGGCACACACACACTAATTAATCAATGTAATTTTTGTAAATTGGGCCAACAAAATGGCTCAGTGGATGAGGGAGTGCTGCCAGGCCTGAAGACCTCAGTTCAATCCCTGGGAACCACATGATGGAAACAGAATTGACTCTGATCTCCACATGCTCATTGTAACACTCAGGCACACAGGGGTGTACTCATGCACACACCCAGACATTTAAATATAAAAATAAAAAGCCACCAAAGAGCTGGGCTGTAGTGGCCCATGCCTGTAATCTTAACACTACAGAGGCAGAGGCAGGCAGATCTCTGAGTAGAAGACAGCCATGCTACACAGAAAAACCCTGTCTCAGAAAAAACAAATAACAACAAAACCCCCAAAGTTGTGATATAAGTCTACAGTCATACAGATAAATCCTAAATTATGCAGAGTGAAATCAAAAGCCACATGTTATATGCTCCACGGACACGAGGCAGAAGGAATATTGAAGGAAGAGGCCAGAGTTTCAGCTTGAGAGGTTGAGGAAAGTTCTGGAGATGGGTAGTTGGTTATGGCAGCTGTACAAAATGGTGACTACATTTAATAACACTGAGTTAGATGCATTAAATCCTGTGTATTTAATTTCACTTTAAAAAGAAAAGGCTTAGAGCCTCTGCCTGCAACTGGCAAGTGCACACTTCCCTGCTCACCCACGGTGGTGTGGCTGTAGGCTGCTTAGTTAACCCTCCAAGGTCACAGAGCTTTGAGAGTCAAGCCCGTATACCCATTTTCCTCACCTCTGCACACAGTAAAAGCACATGGCTAGGGAACACAGCACTCTATTCCTAATCATATTTCTGGGAGTTAGAAGCTGTCACTTGGATATATGCAACCCCTCCAACTAAGGAGAAACCCACCCCACGTGTAGGAGAGATGTGGTAGACCCTCCTCTAAAAGGCTCCCCGCTATTTGTACTGATGTCTGCATATAACACATCAGCTCCACATTCCCAACCTCTTAGGAGGCTGACATGATAGGACAGTCAACTTACCTGTACTGCCACCCGGTGACGAGGTTGGTGTACTTCATTAAATAGCCATAAACATTTTCCATATGATCACTGTTTCAAAAAGAACAGAAAGTTGAAGTTGGTGAAAAATGGTTGAAATTCCAGATAGGCAATTGCACAGGTTTGAAAACAGCTGCACAGACTTAACTCATCAAATTAGCCAGGCATGGTCATGCATGCCTTTAGTCTCTGCCCTCAGGAAAGCAGAGGCAGAGTGTTGACCCACTCTGGTCAACATACAAAATGACAGGCCAGGCAGGGTTACAAAGAGACCTTATGTCACCCCCCCACTCCCCATGAAAAAGTGAAACTCTTCAGAAGAAAAAGAATCACTGAGGTACCTGAACCCCTCCCCCTTGATTTTATTTACAGGATTTTAATTTACCAAACTTCTTCAAAACAAGTACAATACTCCACTTATTGTTAATATTTCAAATATAGTCATTATGTGATTATAAAACTGCATAAATATAAAACAAATACACTCTAAGTGTTGTACTTAAAACAACTAAACAACTACCCCAAAACAATTTCCTAGAGTCCTTCCTCTGCTTTGGGCACTTAACACATGCCCTCCCCACACAAACACACACACAAAACCGTTTCTGTCCTTCTTTGTCCAGCCCTGGGGCTCCATGACCTGACCTGTACAGAAGTTACTTCTACAAAGGACTTGGCATAAGCAGCAAAAAACCACAGGGCTCTTTTAAGAAGCCCTGCTAACAATTCAATGGTGTGTATGAGAGCTGGCAGTGGCAGTGACCACATCTCTAAGCCAGCAGTATGCTGCTTGATGACAGCATAGACCAAGGCGGTGAGCAGAGCTCTCAGTGCTGGTGGTAAATGTACCCCTGCCATATTGGAAAGCAATGTTGTTATTTAGCAGACAAAAGACTCGTGGCCAGAAAAAGATAAAGATTTACAGTAAGGACAGATTAAGATGAAGAAGCTCTAAAGGTTTACAGTTTGTTTTAAAATATACATAGGTTTGGGAGAGAAAAAGAAACAGGATAAAGTGGTTTTAAAAAAATAGAAAGAGAGTAGCTGGGTATAGTGGCACACACCTTTAATTCCAGCACTCGGGAGCCAGAGGCAAGCAAACCTCTGCGATTTCAAAGTGAACCTGGTGTACAGAGTGAATTGCAGGGCAGCCAAAGTTACACAGTGAAACCCTGTCTCAATTTAAAAAAAAAAAAAATAGAAGTAAAAGAAACAGAATAATAAAAAAGCCACATAAAAACAGAAAATACAAAGAGTCTGGATACTGTATGGTATTGTGTTGTCTTTGAATTGCTCAATTACTAAGGAAGGAACAACAACTGCTAAAATACACTTGATTATCAATGATGCTGAATTAATCCAATTTATATATTTTAAAAATGCTTTGACTTCAAAATTTAAGACAGGTTACTGGGGAAAAGAATTTCTATTTTTGTTTCCAAAGAAAATGGAAAGCTGTGGATTCCTTCCAGACTAACATGGTTTGATCAAGCAAGACCCCTGAAACAGTGTCCCAGGTGACCCAACATTCAAAACAGCTGGGACAAGGCAGCCTTGCAGACCACTACAGCCAGGATTTCTGCATCTTCATAGGATCCCCCAAGACAGTGCCCCCAACAGCAGGAAGCAGTTTGGAAAGAACAACGCCCAAATTCCCAAATATTGTCTACAAATGTTTGTTTTCATCTAAATGGGGTTGGTTATAAATGGTTAATGATCACAACCAATCTCTTTTTAAAGGTAAAAAGGGGATTATGGCTAAGAAATGAATACTTTGTTTTGGAATGGATTTGTATTGATACAAATTTAAGGTCAATTTTGTGGTATATTTCTCCTCTTGTTTAAGTATTGTGTTTATATAGGTCATTTTAAAATGTAATGTATAATTTAGTACAGATAATAGTTACCTATAGTAGTCAAAATTTATAGTTAAGTTAGTTAGGTTTTCTGGATATACAGAGATATATTTCAAATGGATAGGCATTCTTCAAACCTTTCAAAGACCTACAGAATATGGCATTTAAAATGGTTTAGGGTTTTTCTTAACAGTGAGGCACAACTGTTGCTGGCAACATCTTCATCAGAAAGGAAGATGGACATGGAAGAAACTCATTATGGAGTTTACTTCCAGTATGGCAAGACTAGCCATTTGGGCAAGATACTGCTCTTGTTTGGACTATTTGACTCTATGCTGTATAAACTGGACATGCAGGACCCACAGAAAAGTGACTGCTGAAACAAGATGGACAGTGCTACAGGGTTTCTGCTTCATGGAAGAGTCTGCCAGACATTCTGTAGAACACAGAGAAAAGTGACTGACAAACTTCCAACACAGGTGGACAGTTTAAAGTTTCCCACTTTGCTGAGAAGTCTGCCAGATACACTATGGCCCATGGGTCGAAGATGGATGCGCCAATTTACAGAAGAATTTCGGATGACTGTCCAGGCAACAAGATGTCTCTGTCATTTCTAGAGTTTCTATATTATCCTTCTGTGTTTTTTAATGGAGTTGAAGACAGATAGCTATGGTTATAGTTTTCCTTAGTTAGGATTAAAGATAAGTTACTTATAAGACTTTAGAATCCCAAAGATAGGATAGATGATGGAATACTTTCTTTAAATCTTGCTAAATGTTAATGAACTAAATATTGCAATTATAGTTCTTGCTTAATAACTGTTTTGTTATATGTAATTTTACTATGTTAAAGTTAAAACCCTTCTTTTTATTTAGACAGAAAAGAGGAGATGATGGGGAATGTTCTTCTGTAAATATGTTTGTCTCATTGGTTGATGAATAAAACACTGATTGGCCAGGCAGGAAGTGTCATAACATGGCAGATACTGCCACTAGCTAACCATAGAGGTCTGGAGGTTTGTACAGACAGGCAGGAAGTGATGTAGCTGGGCAGAATCAGAATATAAGAGGAACAAACAGGAAATAGCTCTCTTCTCTGCAGAGATGTAGCAGGCAAAGGAGATGCAGGGCTGGCCATGTAAGCCAAGACCACTGTGGAAATACTTAGACTGATAGAAATGGGTTAATATTTAAGACAGAGCTAGCCAATTAAGAAATGCTAGTAACCAGCCAACAGTTTCATAACTGATACAGAGTCTCTGTGTGCTATTTGGGGCTGACGTGATTCTGGGACCAGGATGGGAAACTGCTTTTTAGTCAGGTTCTCCACACCAAGCCTCTGCCTGTAGAAGGTGTCCTCCCTACCTGGTGGCATGTCATTAAAGCACTGCAGCTGAGCATGTCCTACAAGAACTGGACTTCTGGGACTATCTACATGTGGATTATGAGGAGAAACTTTCCTAAAATCTTAAGTGTACTAGCTAGCCAGGGTGGTCTTGGACTCCGAGGTCCACCTGCCTTTCGCCACTTTCACCACTGCCTGACCTCCATAGCTTGAGGCTGGCTTTGCTTTCTCAATCCTCAGGCAAGCATTAATAAATCATAAATAATAAATCACCACACTCCTCTGTTCAGAAAGGGGCAGGTCTTTCAAGGTAACTTTTAAACCAGGTGTAGTGGCATATTCCTGTGATCCCTGTAGTCAGGAGGCAAAAGAATCAGGAGTTCAGCTGGGCGATGGCCCACACCTTTAATCCCAGCACTCGGGAGGCAGAAGCAGGATCTCTGTGTGTTCAAGGCCAGCCTGGTCTACAGAGTGAGTTCCAGGACAGCCAGGACTGTTACACATTTCTGTGCCCAAGAACTAGTTAACACAGTCAACAAATGTGGAACCACTGTGCCCCCTGGTGGCCATCAAAAGATGCTGTGGGACTCAATGTTTTGTTTTGGGAGACATGGTCTCCTGGGAGCCCAGACTGGTTTCAAAGCCACTATGCAGCCAAGGATGACTGACCTTAGACTCCCCTGCCTCTGCCTCCAAAGTGCTGGGATGATGGCATACAGCACAACTCTGGGCTGGACCCGAACATCTTTTGTTCACTTTTTTCTCTATCTCCTTATACAAAACTTCCAAATCCAAAGGGACTAAGGGATGTCACCAGTAAAGCCACAAGCATACACCAAAATCTGAAAACCCCCAACCTGAAACATTCCTGGTCTCAAGAATCTCTTTCTGATGAAAGCCTGTGACAGTGTGTGTGATCCTCCAGCGCTCATGCTCCATTCCCATTACAAGTGTATACATTTTTGTATACACTTAATGAACCTTCAATATTAAGACAACCTGGTTGTTAAAACTGAGGAAAACACTACATGCCTGATTTTATCATGCTATTTCATGTTCTCCAAACCAGGTGATTAAAAACAAGACCCTGTAAACTAAACTACAAAGAAGTTGTCTTCAGTGCTGCAATAACCCACTGATCTCAATGTGCCATTTACTTGGAACTGGTCCTGGAAGCTGTCTATGAAAACTGCTCAAAAAGGGGCTGGAGAGATGGCTTGATGGATAAGAGTACCTACTGCTCTCCCAGAGGTTCTGAGTTCTGTTCCTAGCACCCAGCAACTGTGGCTCACAATTGCTTTTAACTCTAGTCTAAGGGGATCAATGCCTCTGGCTTTCTCAGATGCCAGCACACATGTGCACATAACATACTCCATATGTATTCATAATAAATTAATATGTATTTTAAAATATTAAAATTAAAACAGTGTTAGTGTATATATAAACAAATGTACACGTAGGCACAGTATAACATGAAGAAAACAACAAGAAAGGCTAAATTATAAGGATATAAGGAAGGACTGAATGCAGGTGATGTTATGGAAGAGGATACAAAATTAATTGTTTTTCCAGTTCTAAAACTGTCATGAGCTTTTTTTTTAAATGTGGATAAGTATATCAGATATATTCTATATTTAAAATGTAAAAATTAGAAGCCAGGCAGTGGTGGCACATGCCTTTAATCCCAGCACTCTGTAGATGGAGGCAGGCGGATCTCTGTGAGTCTGAGGTCAGCCTGGTCTACAAAGCAAGTTCCAAGACAGCCAAAGCTACACAGAGAAACCTGGTCTAAGGGTAAAACACACACACACACACACACACACACACACACACACACACACACACACACAA